ATACAGCTATACCTGTAAATGTCAAATATGCAATATGAAGTAATGTATTGGGGACTTGAATAAGTTCTCGCTGTTTTTTCGTGAAAATGAATACTTTATTTAAAAAAATTAATAAAGAACATGTCATTGAAAATATTGTCCATCGCTAATCACTACTTTCTCCCATCTTTCTGGCAGCATACGAATACCATGTCGAAAGAATGACTCATCTTTTGAGGTTATTCACGAATCGACCCATTTTTTGGCATTTTCATAAGAATGGAAGTGCTGCTCAGCCAGGCCATGAGTCATCGATCGGAACAAGTGGTAATCGGAAGGAGCAATGTCCGGTGAATACGGCGGGTGGGGGGTAGGACTTTCCATTTGAGCGTTTCCGAGTAGATTTTGATGGGTTTTGCAACATGTGGCCGAGCATTGTCATGCTGCAAAATTATTTTGTCGTGTCTCTCCTCGTATTGCGGCCGTTTTTCCTTCAATGCTTGACTCAAACGCATCAATTGTAATCGATAGCGATCTCCCGTGATGGTTTCGCTTCCGATAGAGATGTCGCTTCCGAACGACATCTCTTAACGTTATTTAGGGAGAGGAGAATATCGTAAGCGTGGAGCGTCAGGTAGCTCAGTTTAGAGCAGTCGCCCGGCAAGCGAAAGACCCGGGTTCGACTCCCCGTCTAGCGACTACCGCACTCTCGATATTTTTCTCTCCTCGGAACGAAAAATGAGATGCAGGTTCCGAACGCACGGCGTCCCGTCGCCACCTAGTACTCCCTCCTTCTTTCATGGTATACTACACCCAGCTGATCCCTCCAAATACAGAGCATGAGCTTGGAACCACCCTAATAGCCAAATCTGTCCGAAACAGATTTTGCCAGACGCCTGCTGCAAGAGTTGATGACAAACTGATGTCAAAATTAATACAGATTCTGCAATATCAGATGATGTCGGCAGATGCCAGTAGCATTGAAACAGAATATGTTACAGAGGTTTGATATCAGATTGATGTCAACATTTGAACAGGTTCTGTTAAGCAGCCTGACGGCAGATTGACGATAGAAAGGAAACAAATCCTGCTGTCCGTAATCTGACGACAGATTGCTTAACAGAGACGAAACAGATCCTGCCGTGCGCAGTCTGACGGCAGATTGGCGGCAGAATTCAAACAAATGCGGTTTAATACTATGACGGCAGATTGGCGGCAGAAACGTAACAGATCCTGACGGACGCAGTCTGGCGGCAGAAATACAACAGAATCTGCTGTGCGCAGTCTGGCACTAGAATGACGGTAGAAACGTAACAGATCCTCTGCCGCCCACAGTCTGACAACAGACTGGTGACAGAAATACAGCAGATTCTGCAGTGCGCAGTCTGGCACCAGAATGACGGCAGAAACGTAACAAATCCTGCCGTTCGCAGCCTGACAGCAGATTGGTGACAGAAATACAACAGATTCTGCCATATTCATTTTTACCTTCCCCCTTCCCATTCAGTCATATATATTACGTGAAGGTAATTATTAAAAAACAACACAATATACGAACTAATAAGTAATTGATTTTATTTATCACACAAGACAAAACGAGACAGCTAGTCAGATTCATAACGATATTCAAATCACTGCCGTGATTTTTGATGAGCAAGAAGTATGGCTCGAATATTGGCGAAATATACTTGAGTCTTGAATATGTAATATCGCGTTTAGTTAGGAAATCTTCGCTAGTGTGCTTATCGAAGAATTGACATTGTAATACAACTTGACACAACTTAGACGCCTGTTTTAATTATCTATTGTCTATTATCTATTAAATCAATATATTATTAATATAATGAATAATTAATTATTTCAACTCAGTATATTATCGCCGTACTTTCTATCATATGAAACATATGTAAAGATTAAGCAAGCTTCGGCAAAAATGACAATAATGAAAAGATTTAAAATTAAACGTCGACGATGCACTAAAAGTTTTTATATGTTTGCTTCAATTTTGCACTTTATTAAAAGATAATACAAAAGTTTTCGATATGAAATAAACAACTTATAATTTTTAGAAAATAACACAATTGATACAATAACATAATTGACACATTTTGAGAAAATAACACGATTGACAATATCATTTCATGTAAAAACTAAATGTTTCTAGTAACAGAAAATTAATGCATCTTTTGTTTGTTTTTATTATCGCACTTGTAACGAGAAGCATTTAAAATTAATCTTCGACGATGATTAAAAGCTTTTATACGTTTGCCTCAATTGCATATTTTGTTAAGAGATAACAAAAGAGGTTTCGATATGAAATAAACAACTTACAGCGTATTTTGAGAAAAAACCATAATTTACATCATGTCATGTAAAAACTAAATGTTCCCAGTAACAGAAAATTAATGCATCTTTTGTTTGTTGCTATTATCGCATTTTTAACGAGAATCGCCAATGTTTAAATCTTTAATTATAGAAAAAAGTAAAATAAACTTATATGTAGATATAATTCTTCATATATAATTTTTAAATCACGCGAGATAATGAAGAAATCTAGCGTTATATGGATATATAAATGTTAAAAAGTAAGAAACAAAAGAAAAAACATTTTTATCTCATAAAACAGCTATTTGAGCTCGTGTTCATATCGCGGGAATTCACGGACGTCATATTTTTGCGCGTATTCGTAGGTAGATAGGTAGATATTCGAAAACCGTCAGCAGTTTTATACTGTCTCTTGGCGTCCGTTGAATGTTCAGGCGTTGGTTGGACGGATCGCAGTTCCATCGATCCTGAGGAATATCTGCGAACAATGAGGAACATAAGAGAACGTTCAGAGAAATTATCCCTTTACCTATAAAATAATGTAAAAAAATAATGTAAAAAGAAATGTTACGTAAGAAAAAGAAATAATCTATTACTATAGTTATACTATAGTTAATACTATGGTTATTAAAGACTTCCATTTTTATTATAATCATTTTCAACTCGAACGCGCACGACGAATGGTGTTTGCCGATTGTTCTTCAGGTATTCGTGTCTTACCCTGAGCTTGTCGAATGGATAAAAATATTAGATTTTTTTGGTGTTTTTATTGTTGTAACATCGTTGCTCGGCGATGAAGTCGCAACGCGTCGCGGAATCTCCCGTTGTACGTCAGAGAACAGTAGTTTCTTATTGTCGAATTTACCCCTCTCGTGTTTTAAGCTCACGTACTTGTCGTTGAGTATTTTCATGTTACGTCGCGCGATCCAATATTGGTTTTTCAGCATGTCGTACTTTTTGTCCTTAAAAAATAATCGTAGTGACATGAAAATGTGACACGAAGATCATAAAAACAAAATAAGGTACACTCTAAATTTTAAAGTGGAAAAGAAGGGAAAGAAAGATATAGCCTGCAAACTGTAAATTTTAAATTCTAAAGAAACGATAAAAGAAATGACCCGCGAAAAACAGTTAAATATGTTTTAAATATAGCATTATATTTATCCTTCATATGGACTAAGTTAAACTCAAACAAAAACCAACTTAAATGTTAATCAACATCTTATTTGTTCTAAATATAGAATTGAATTTAGACTCAGTTTTGATTAGGTGCATATTAAATATTAATATAATAATATAATAATATAATATAATATAATAATATAATAATATATTAATATAGTCTAGTCGCAGGATCATATATTTGAATTAAGTTAATTTTTAATTTAATATTTGGTTCTTATTTGAATCTGACTTGATCTATGTAAAAAACAAATATGAACTATATTTAAAACATATTCAACTATTTTTCGCGAGGAGAGATATGTGATTGTGTGCGTGTGGTGTGCGTGTGCGTGTGCGTGTGCGTGTGCGTGTGCGTGTGCGTGTGCGTGTGCGTGTGCGTGCGTGTGCGTGCGTGTGCGTGCGTGTGCGTGCGTGTGTATGTGTGTGTGTGTGTGTGTGCATGTTCGTACAAGTTCGAGAAACCGTTGCATGATTATTTTCATTTGGTTGCTTCGAAACTCGTCGACTTTAAACAGCATCTCGAGAGTTTCAACGAGCGGCATGAATAATTGGCGCACGTTGGGATCTTTCAACGGCTCTTTCAGCACCATAGATAGGGCGCCGTTGTACCCGCATTGCGTGCACTGCTTCTCGGCTGCAAAAGCACGACAAGAATGAAATGATTTTGCGGAGAGTTACGGACGATAAACAATGGCGACATCGTTTTCACGAGACTCGCTCTCAGTACGCATACCTTGTTGCAAGCAGTCTTCACAGTAAATATGTCCGCATTGCGTTATGTTATATGGCTGTTTTCCTCGGTACATCGGGGCGAAACATTTATTGCATATTAACGTATCCATGTTTGAAAAAGTACACAACTAAAAAAGGACGAGACGCATGACTCGAGAGATTCAACATTTTTCCTCGTGCCTTACAAGCGCTACTTTGAACTGGAAGTGATACTCTTACTCGCATCGCGATGTATTCTCTCTCGTTTCGTTGAAATTATACATTACATGCTGAGAGTGGAATAATTAAAATTTACTTACGTCGCAAATGTATCAATTGGACGTCAATCAAGTTCTATTTCTTTCGATATCACGGGATAGACGATAATGGTGGGCGATGTCGTTCCGTACAAATCGCAAAATGGCGCCAAACATGACGGCACGGAACAGGCTGGCTATTCGTCAATGGTCGCGTTCAGCAGACTCAACAGTTGGACAACATTACTAGATTTTCCACTGAATCTCACTCCTGATTGGTAAATATTTCTGGGTCTATGAAGAATCTAAAAGAATGCTCCAATCACAGACAATAATCACTAAGCGCTTACTGATCACTTTGTTCTGCTGAACGCAGCCATTGGCCGCGTTCAGTATTCTTGCGTTCAGCATTCTTTTAGATTCTTCATAGACCTAGAAGTATTTGCCAATCAGGAGCGATAATCACTAAGCGCTCACTGATCATTATGTTCTGCTGAACGCAGCCAGTGGTACAACTCAACGTTGCGCCAACCGGTTTTTTTTGCACCTATTGCCCCCACTTCTGTCATATCAGCAATATAAACAGTATAACCTCCGATATTCTGAGATGATGGGAAAATATCAGTAGAAATGTCGTCACAACAGCGACGACCACTCATTATTTTTCATCTCGCAACGTAAATCTCTTCGACACGTGCCGAATATCTGCAATATTTTCCCCGTAATCATGGAACTTGTGCGTATTCTCGTCAGCCGCAACCTCAAACGATCCTTCCTGAAGGCGCCTGAAAGGTTTTGTGTACAACACGCGCGATACATCAGGTACCGAACGCGATAGACGAAGTAGATGATCGAATATACCGAATAATATTGTCTTATAGATAGTCGCAAGTGGAGAAAAAAGCTATTTTCACACACGCTCTCATACGTCCAGATATGTTGATTGTCATTAATTACTTTTTCTTTGATTGCCGTGATTAATAGACGTGTCGCAAAACTGAACTAAAAAAGATAGGAAATATCGCCGTTCTACAATGTTAATTTAAGTAACTCTTGCGACGCAATATATTTGTATTATATGTTATGACATACACCTTTATATTGTATATATTGTTCTCTCTTTTTGTATAACATATGTAACAACTAGATTTTTTTTTTGACTCTCACTAGTATTATAATCTGACCTCCAGGGACACTTAGTAATAAGTTTGTTAGTTAGAGTCTAGCGCGAAGAGTATCCTGTGACACACTCGCATAAATTCTTAAATCTTAGATGTTAAGATCAGCAGGTAGTTTCTAAGTAGAAGATGGTGAAAAATATTTAAATATTTTATAATATGCACGTGATATCATTTCAGATTAGCAGAGGTTGGTAAATTGGAAACACCAAAACTACAAGGAAAGTATGAGACGGGTCAGTTGATTTTGCACAGAGTCTTTGGTTATCGTGGCGTAATTCTCTTTCCATGGTTAGCCAGAGTATATGACAGAGATATATCCAACAAGAAGGATGAGTATGTATAGTTACCCATAGTCATATAGTTTTTTCTGTTTTTGCTTAAGTAACTTATGATCACTTGCATGCTTCAATTTTTATTACGAATCAGTCTAGAATTAATTGATTCTACTCGGCTACATGCACAGTAATAATAACTCCTACTAATATTTATAAGTATTGTATATTTTGTATAAACACTTGTGACGTTAGTTAAAATCTCTGACAAAAACCCATTTATTTATGCAGTAAGGATGACAACAATTTCAACAATGTCGGTAAAGAAGTAAAGGGTAGAACGCATACATTCTACCAAGTTCTGATCGATCAGCGAGATTGCCCTTACATAGTAAGTAATACACGAGAAGACTAATTGGCACGTAGATTTGTACAAGCTGTACAACTTCTCTGTGTACCGCTTAGCGTGCTCAAACGGAAGCGGTGACCTTCCTGGGCAATCACGAAAGCAGTCGCAGCTTGTATGCTATCCCAGGCTTGGATTATGTCGCACACGAGGACGTGTTACCGTACAGCACGAACGAGAAAGCAGCGTTGCAACATGAATTGTTCGACAAGTTCCTGACTTACGACCCGGACAAAGAACCGTGCTTCGTAGCGCAAGAGACCCTTCGAGCATGGCAGAAGAAAAACCATCCGTGGCTCGAGCTGTCCGATGTACATAAGGAAACAACCGAGAATGTTCGCATTACCGTCATACCGTTCTACATGGGTTGTAGAGAAAGCCAGACGACTTCTGTTTACTGGGTGAGTCGACTCATCCTTTATTTTCTATGCGATATTTGCTGAGAATTACTAAAATGCCCTCATTCTATCGACAAAGTAGAACAAAGCTGGCTGAAGATGCGCGTCCATTCAAGTACCTAAGCAATGATTTGATCTCATCTCATCTCTTCATCTTTCTTCCAGTGGCGTTACTGTATTCGACTGGAGAATTTAGGTGAATTGAGCGTGCAGCTGCGCGAGAGACACTGGAGAATATTTAGCCTGTCAGGCACTCTAGAAACTGTTAGAGGCAGAGGCGTGGTCGGCCAAGAACCAGTGTTGTCGAAAGCTCTACCCGCTTTTCAGTACAGCAGTCACGTGAGCTTACAAGCTCCTAGCGGTCACATGTGGTAAGCGTCGTCGTTTGTTCTTCACCAGCATGAGGACGCCACGATCGTTTGCTTAATTGTATTTGTTCCCAGGGGTACGTTTAGGATGGAGAGAGAGGATGGGTATGCGTTTGATTGTAGAATACCACCGTTCTCTCTGGAATCAAAAGCGGAAGAGTCCTCGCCCAACGTTGAGGTCTAACTGTTCGGAGACGAACGGGATAACAATTAAATTACGACAGTTAATTAAGGCTAGTTAACTATATAACTTTACTAGATGAGTATATGATTGTTTACTAGCGTAGACAAGACGAAGTTTGAATAAGCTTGATACTTGAATATTGAAGACGAAGACTTGTGATAACTTGTGACCAACTGGTTTTCCAATCTCAATAAAAGTATAATGTACATATTTTCTCCCCCAAAGGTCATTGCTTGTGCTCTGTCACGAGGGATATAGATCTATATTTTGCTTTCTTTTTTCCTCTTCAGTGATCTGATTATATTTCGAATTTACTAAAACGATATACAGAGTGATTTGCGCAAGAGGATATTCAAAACCTGTTTATATTTTAAACGAGGAAATAACGCAGATATCTGTACTTGCAATGCTTTTTGATTGTGCGAGGTACTGGGTGACTGAAAAACAATGCAAAGTCACAAAGGAAAGCGAGAGGGATCACGTCAACATCGACGATATAACGATCACATCGCACGGGATTATTATTTTCAAACGATTATCAAACATTCGACAGTTTGTCGCTGCGAAATGTTCGTCCTATCGGATGTATCGGGCCACTTCGAAAAATCCATACGAATTGCGCTTGGCGGGCGGAAATCTGGAACGCGCTAGAGGGGGTAAAGGCGAAAATACGCGCTGGCGTGCAAGCGAGACAGGGCGACGTGCATCTTTCCTTCTCTATCGATCACAGGATAAAAGCGTGTGCACTTCGTCCGTGTCAGCACAGCGTGATACATAGGGACGTCGCTGGAATTGGTTACGTGCCGTCACAATGGTTGTTTGTAAGTTTACCTAGATCACACGGCGAGCCCATTGTCCTTTCCGGGAAGGATGTTTTGTGTGAGAAGGCTATTCGCACGGGTGCTAATGGTCTTTTCGACCGTAAAATATGCGGGAAGCCGTGTAACTGACCAACCTTAACCTTTCGAGCGTGGCCGATTTTTTGCCCTGAGCTGACACAAGCCACACCCTGGCTGGCTATTAATAATTTTTTTAATTGTCCGGCGCGGCTTCGCGTTGAATCGCATTGAGCATCCTTCCGTTCGCGTGACAAGAGAGATAAGATGACGAGTCCGAAATTCCCCGAGACAAAGAAGCATTCCTCGCCCATTGTGACGCCTGTGGATGACGATGCGATTCGTTCGGACGCGCGATCGCGAGCGTCGTCGCTTGCTTTTTCGTGCTGAATTCTCACTAAATGTTCGCTCCGTCTTTCCCACCGTGCAGATAGCCTGTCGCAGGATGTGCTCGAAGATTTTCGCATTAAATTCTACGAGGACAGTCGCAACGTGCTGGCGCAGAATGTCTGCACGAAAACAAATCCCATCGAGGCCTGCGCCTCGAGGAAGATCGTGGAGGAGACGCAGCACGTCTTCACTCATAAGATCGAGGCTGAGGGCAAGCCCATCACCAACCAGAAGAACTCTGGCAGGTGCTGGTTGTTTGCTATCTTGAACGTCATGAGGACCAGCTTTATGAAGCAACATAATCTGGATGAGTTTGAGTTTAGCCAGGCTTACTTGTTTTTCTGGGATAAGGTATACACTTGTATATTTAAGAAACAATGCAGCGTATCTTGTTTCTGCTACAATATATATCTCAATTTATTGCATCTTGATGTTTTCTTTTTTTCCACAGGTAGAACGTTGTAATTACTTTTTACATAACATCATAGATACCGCGAAACGCGGCGAGACAGTGGAGGGCCGGCTAGTCTCTTTTCTGTTGTCTGATCCCACCTGCGACGGTGGTCAATGGGACATGATCGTCAATCTCATAACCAGGCACGGTGTCATGCCAAAGACCTGTTTCCCAGAGTCTTACAGCTGTGAGTCCAGCGTGCGCATGAACAGTCTGCTGAAGAGCAAGTTACGTGAGTACGCCAAAGTTCTGAGGGATTTGATCGGGAATGGCGCTACTGACGAAGAACTGGAGGCGCAGTTGAAGAAGCAAATGACGGTCATCTATCGGATAATCGGCATCTGTCTGGGCATACCTTCCAAGGTGTTTACATGGGAGTACTACGACAAAACGAAGAATTACAACTGCGTGGGACCCATCACGCCGTTGAGTTTCTACGAGACCTACGTGAAGCCATATTTCGACGTGAACGACAAAGTGTGTCTGGTGACAGATCCGCGTCCAAGCAACCCTTACGGGAAGCTGTACACCGTCGACTGCCTGGGGAATGTCGTTAGCGGGCGAACCACTCGCTACAACAACCAGCCAGTGGAACTGCTGATGAAACTTTGCGCCGAGAGCATCAAAGATAACGAGCCGGTCTGGTTCGGTTGCGATGTCAACAAGAGACTAATAGATAAGCACGGCATCCACGACCTGAGCGCGTACAATTTCAATCTGATGTTTGGCACGGATGTGCACATGGGACTCTCCAAGGCCGACAGGCTGCTCTTCGGGGATTCCATGATGGTGCACGCGATGGTGCTTACCGCCGTCTCCATAGACCCTGTGAGTATCTCCTCCTGTGTGACGGACGTCACACAGGCAGCTGTGTCTCTCGTCTCGATCCCGATCTCGTGCCCGACTAATTCTTTCCTTTGGTCTTCGTTTCAGAGAGACGGTAAGATCAAGAAATTCCGGATAGAGAACTCGTGGGGCGAGGATCACGGGCAAAAAGGCTATCACGTCGTGAGCTACGACTGGTTCGCCAACTTCGTCTTCGAGGCGGTGGTGGACAAGAAATATGTACCTCAGGACGTGATGGCGGTGTTCGACCAGGAGCCCATCACCCTGCCCGCATGGGACCCCATGGGCACGCTCGCTTATTGATGATAAAGTAGAACTAATTACGGCATTATGGCAAAACTTTCTACGCATTACGGAAGAGCAGACACACACGAGACATACATAAAACATATAAATATAATATTTAATGGAAAAAAAGAAACGAGAGAAGGAAAAACAGGATCCGAGAACAGCGCGATTGTACAAAATACCGAATATTTTATACCATGCGAGGGAATGTGCAAAACAGTATTGAAAAGGAAGCAAACGAAACAATGGCTGCTTTGTCGTTCGTACGAATCGCAAGCGCATTTTGTTCACCGCAGTATACTACAGAGAATGACGTTTAAGCTAGACCGTCAAGACTGAGTGTATGAGTTACCATATAATTGAAATCACGAGGTAATTAATCGAAACGATTCACGCGTGCCTGCTGCAGTTTCCGGAGGGTTTGCGCGTCATGTACGCGTTACGTATTCGCAAAGGGTGTTGGCGAAGAGCGCGCGCGCGCGCGTTGAGTCGCATACTTGACCTTGTAGTAGGCAATAATGTACCCGACGATCCTTGCATCCCAGTAACCCAGTAACGGTTACGGTGGTTTAACGCGTCGTCGTTTAATAACGCGATACGAACACAGCAACTTCCCGTAAAAAAAAACCAAAAATAAATATAGACTGCAGACCATCTCCCGGCGTATTGTGTATCCACGACTTAAATTCCCGCGATTTAGCCTTGGTCTACAATACGTGTCGTAAGTTGTAAGCCGTAAGAATTGGCGAATCACAGTCGATTATCACAAAAATAATCTGCTATAATTGATCAGTTCTTACGGCTTACAGCTTACAATACATATTGTAGACTAGGCCTTAATCGCATTAATACACGACATGTAGAGAGAGAGAGAGAGAGAGAGAGAGAGAGAGAGAGAGAAAGAGGAAGAGGCACTGGTACTCGCGTGTTAATCTCCGCGCATGTTAATCTTAAGGATCGCACGTGCACACGCTAAACAGTAAAAGGCAAAAGCAATAGAACAGTACGGAGAGGTTTGTAAAATTTAATAAAATGATTTGCCAGAGGATGATTAAAGGAATTCTTGCTCAAGCTGTCTGGAATTCGTTACTGTCCATCGTACCAAGGCTGTCGCTTGACTCGCTAGGATCGCTACGTCGGTCGGTGAGCGGAGTGGACGTTCAGTAGACACCGGGAGAGCGTGTGATTTTGAAAACAATTCCTATATTATCAACGTACTCTTACAAAAGCGAATCTCGTACAAATGTTAAATGCTCCAAACGTTCGACGATGTGTGTGAGACTTTGGACGATGCGAGTTGTTTCCTCTGTTGCTTGTATTGCTTGTGACAGTATTGCAACTTAGCCCATATGCCGTGGCACATGTTCTGCAGATGCTCGTCCTTCTCCTTGAGCGCGAACTTGTAGATCTTTTTGATCATTTGCTGCGGACCCCTCAAGTGGCCACGCTGTATCAAACTCAGAGCAGAATACAATCTGCAACGAGCGACAAGGAGAGGATTATCAAGACGCAATGCCAGTTCGAACTGCCTCACTGAAATTTTACCCGCCATTTCAGCCTAGAGAAAGGAAAGAGAAGGCAACGGGTGAATTGAAATGTATCACATTATTGTATGACATGCATGTATGTGTAAAAGAGACAGTTGTGACTTACACAGTGTTCAAATTCTTCACCTAATGCAGAGAACGCTCCTCCTAAAGTGGATAACCAGGACATTGCGTGATCAGCTTCTTGCCTCTCCAGGATCATTTGCATTAATTTCTCATTCCTGGGGAAAAATGTGAATGTCAAACAAACGCAGCATGCAATTTCAATTCTGCCTAGTGAGATGATCTTACCATTTGTAATCCAAGAACTGTCTCCTCGGTGTCCTCAATCTTATTAATATTATCTGTATACATTTTCTACCGTGCAATCCAACGTACAACCATCTGAGCAGCGCTCTCAGAGCAGCATTGCGATAAACGTAGGAATTTGACAAGGTAACGATGTAAGTCGAGACGAGGTAGGAGACTAATCCCCTCGTACATAGACGAATTGCTTTAGCTGTATGCTCATCCAAAGGGTCCTGTGCGGATATGTCAACCCTCCGTTGAGCACTGCCGTTGACCTGCTCATGTTTAAGCACACACTGCGGCCTGACAATGACATTGTCGAAAATCGCGTTGCTCCTGTAGACGACCAATCGTAGACAATGATCCATATTTCGTTTTAACTCAAGACTGACGTCGACGTTACATTTTGCCGTATCATCATCGCACGTCGTTGTAGCGCACGTTGTGTGCAATCTTCATGGCATCGAGGTTTACCGAGGGACATGCGTGCGTCGGCGGGCTTTCCTAACCTGATTCACCTGTCATAACCTCTCGGCTCGCCGGGCTTCGCGAAAATTATGGCGCCCATGATGGCTCCGTTCGGAGAGCGATCAGCACTAAAGTACAGAGCAGTTGGGTAGTAAATAGTTAATCGGTTAAAAGTTAAGTTAAAATGTCAATAACTTTTAACTTAATTAATTTTAACTTTTAATTTAAACTAATTATTGTTAAACGCGCTAACGTTAACTTATTAACTTTTTTTCAAGGCACAATTAAAGTAACTTGTCAATATTAAAGTTGTGCGAAGTTGGTCCACAATAGTTATTAAGGAATTAATTAAACAATGTTAGTGAACGTGAGCGCGTGATGCGGCAGGATGCGTAATGTCTGCAAAGTCTCATTCAAAACAACTCGAATTTGTTGATGATTTCCTAGTAAATGTTTATTATGATAGACGTTGGAGTTACACAATTAATATGACACATCGCTTGCTGGCATATTGCCAGTAAATCGTCAATAAATTCGAGCCATTTTCTATAAGATTTTTTTTGCAGAGTTCTCCCGTTTGTCGCGTACTCATTCACTATAATATTGTTTAATTAATTCCTTGATAATTATTCTATAATTCGTAAAATGGCCCAATCAGTAGACTATATTTTTAACGTTTTTCAAATATTTATCTTACATTTTTTCAAATTTTTTCCATTCATTGTATAAAAAATATTTATTTAACATTTATTTAATGTATATTTTACATCTTTACTTAAAATGTTAAAAAAAAATATTTATTTGACATTAATTCTTTATTTAAAATAATGATTAAGAAGAAATATTTATTTAACGTTTATTTAATGTTTATTTAATACCTAATGTATATTAACAACTGGTTAAAAATTATTTTTAACATTTTAAAAATGTTTTTTAAACGTTTTGTTAATATTTTTAAAAACATTTTTTAAATATTCTTTTTCTGATTGGGAATACAGGATTTTCCTGTCCAGTTTGATTCACACAAGCATTGCCTTTTATTAATTTTGCCTTTTATTAATATTTTAAATTGTTCTTCTCTCTTGTAAAATCGTTCTATTAGAATTATTGTACTTTCTAAATAATATATATTATTAAAAAAAGGAAAAATACATTATCTCTTTTATAAAATACCTTTCTATTATCTTACATAAAATTAATTTAATGTATAATTAACAAGTTAATTATTTAAAAAAACATATAGCTTAGCATAATTAATTTTTAACCTTAATAAGTCAATTTAATTTTTTAACTTAACTTTTATTCGATTTAGGCCAGTATTCATAGTCGAGTCTTATATTTAAGACTGTCTTAAGTTCACCTTCAGATATTCCGTAACCAATGAAATAATTTGTACAGCATCTGAAGATGAACTTAAGACAGTCTTAAATATAAGATCCGACTATGAATACCGGCCTTGAGTAACTTTAAATGTGAACTTAATTGATGAATCATTTAGAATTAACTTAATTCATAAAAAAATTAACTTATCTCTAATCCTGTTAAGGCGTCATTCTATCTTTATTATTCATTACAATAACAAAGCATTAATTACAACAATAGTACAACAAAGATAGAATGTGCTAATGTGGTGATAGCTCGCTCCCCCGAACGCACCCGCATGCATACGCTCCTGTGCCGAGCCTAACGTCCTGCGGCTTGACGGTCAGGGACTTTATTCTCGAAAATTTGTGAAAAATATCGTATACGATATTTCATCAATGGGACAATTTAGTCCTGGTCTACAATATATGTCGTAAGTCGTAAGAACTGACCAATTATAGCCGATTATTTTTGTAATAATCGACTGTGATTCGTCAATTCTTACGGCTTACAACTTACGATACGTATTATAGATCAGGCCTTAATTAGCTGAGAATTGTGATATCTAGTAACATTCATGAAATATCGTACGTGATAATTTTCAAAAATATGGTCTCAGTTCGTCGTGTTGACGAACGCGATCGTCAGATGTCGTTAGCTAACATTTTCGACAGCCTGTGAGTGAGCGCGTAAGTCACTTGCTCATGAATTCTCGCGGACGATCTGCAGCTGCAGGGCGAAAAACCCCAAGAACTCACCGAGAATAGATTCTCGAAAGGTGATTCGACGGCAAGCTCGATAAGTCAATAAACATGGCAGACAATAATAGCATCCTTGTGAGAGCGTCCGCGTGATATTTGGAATGGTGAAGGTTGTCTGAGGTTGTCTCTTCGCACCTCACTCCGTTTAGCTCGTATTATCAATTATGTAGCGACATTTGCGATCTATTTAGGGACGAAGCGAACAGTCGTACAGTGAGGCCAGATGACATTCTTTGGTTCAAAATTCTCTAGAGACCTGAATTTCCAACCGATCATCGACACCAATGGATGAGGTTGATCCTAAATAAATTCCGAAGAGATCTGTCTTGCCAAAATTAAAAAAAATTTTTTTTCTCGAATTATTAGCCCCAAAAGAGGAAAACTTATCGTTAAACGCGAGAAACTTGCGAAATAATCATTATTCGACACTTATTTCTATCTAGTAGCGTATTCGACGGATTGAAACTATGAAACCAGTCAACAGATACCTCGAGATTTATCGATCTTGAATCAGAAACCCATTAACCCAAAACTCATATGCCCAAAATACAAAAACATCAAATATAGACCCGTTAAACACAAAACCGAAAGATTTTGAGTCTTAATTCATCCCATCAACCTAGGAATCTATCAATCCGAGAACTTTTTAGTTTGTGGATGCATAAAGCCGTATATATTAAAAGCCTCAAATAGTCCAAAAACCCAATCTAGCCATAGCTCGAGAACCTAATAATATTCGACGTTGAATATTCAACTATAAAACATTAAGTTCGAGCCTCGAAACTTTTAAGACAAACCCTAAACCCATGAACCCTGAACCGATAATTTTTCCAAATTTCGGCTAGACAGATCTCTTTGGGATTTATTCAGGATTAACCTCATCCATTGGTGTCGATGATCGGTTGGAAATTCAGGTCTCTAGAGAATTTTCAACCAAAAAATGTCATCAGTGGTGCGATTCTGTAACTCGTTATTGGAGTTAACGACACTTTCGTTATTGTTGCGCAGCTTTTGTATACCGTAGAAAAGCTGCGCAACGATAACGAAACTGTCGTTAACTCCAATAATGAGTTAAAGAATCGCACCACTGGCCCCACTGTGCGTCGATGGTGGATCGCGACACCTAAGTCGCGCACATAAAAGAGACCAGACGTGCGCGCGCGTTTCGCTGAAAATTTAACTTAAGATTTCGCTCCTGCGTGCATTCTCGGCTCTGTTGAATCGATCTTCTTTTCCTCCCCTCTCTCTCTCTCTCTCTCTCTCTCTCTCTCTCTCTCTTCTTTTTTTTCTTCTTCGCAAAATAAGTCTCGGTCTTTGACAGTGTAATCAGATATTTAATTACAAAATAGCGTTACACAGATATCTTCGGAATAACAATGACATTAGCGGTAATTATGTTATTACATCCACGACGGAATGCGTTGCTTAGAGTATTCATTGTACGTAGCTTAAAATATAAGTTCGTTTGTCTAGAAACAACGTTGTTATTAGAAACGTGTGTATCTCGTAGCATGGTGGATTACATCAGATTAGATCGCTTCTTGCGACGTATTGTTGCAGTAGGGGAGAGTTGAAACGTGTGTCCGTATGTGTGTGTAAGTACATATAGCAGAAGAAACGAAGCTTGTAACCTCTTTGCAGGGATTAACATCGTTTGTGTACAACACATCGTAAGATCAATTCTCTCTCTTACGTAATAAATCCAACGATCGTGTCGGAGGGTCGACGGAGACAACGACGTTGTCTATCTTTAAGGACGTACTAAATTTTATTCGATTTTCACCACGGGCCTGCTTTCGAAAAAAAGTTACCTACGCCTGATTTGTTCGGAAACGAGAATAATTTTTTTCCGAAGGATAATTTCCTTTCCGTAGGGGAGACTGCGGATGCATCGAATCGCTATGCCTCACGCGAAGGGATAATCGAAAGCAAGGCACTTAATATAATTTATTGCTTTGAATTGTGCAACGAGAAATGCAACGAGAAACGGCGAATATATGTATACGTGTATATCGACTTACAGATAGCCGCTATCGCTAATATTATTGATACGACGTTGCTAAGTTTAGGCAGAGACAGAGAGAGAGAGAGAGAGAGAGAGAGAGGGGGAGAGAGAGGGAGAGAGAGAGAGAGAGAGAGAGAGAGAGAGAGAGAGAGTGAGAGAGAGAAAGGAGGGGGAGAAGGAAGAAAGAGAGGGAAGGGAGAGATAGAGCAAACTATATTCGATAATAAAATATAGTCCTTCGCTTTCTCTACACGATATTTACGCGATGTCGAAACTTATCAGTCTAGAAAAATAGAGCGCAAACTATTCGAAATAATAAAATATACACAGATCGTAGGAGGTCGTGGAGTGCGATCCCTAGATCGATGTAAAACAATTATCACATTGTTCAAAGAGTAGGAAAGTTTATCACCGGCTCGAGTCGTGTGCGAGCGCCTCTTTTCAACAACCTGTCCACTTGTATCTCTTACACCTGATATGTCGATATTGTCAATGATCCAAGCACAAAGCCCCGATATTTACCGGATATATAGTCGGTACATCTACATAACGATACTAGACTCGTCAACAATATTCGTATGTATATATACATACATATGTATATATGTATACATATACAACACACGTATATTATTGTAACAATATTGGGCTCTTAGCGACAAAGGGAACGTCGCGCGACATATACAGGTTGGCTCATTTTAATTTATCCACTCAAATATCTGAGAAAAATATAAAAGATACGGAAAAATGTTTCAGATAAAAGTCTGGTTCGAAGGCGGACACAAGACAGCGATTTATATTGTAAATGGCGTCACTACCGAGATATTCACTAATCATCACTTTTCTTAAATGGAACCCCAATTTTTTATTATATCATCTTTTCCAACTGATTAATTTGAACAACTTTTGTCTGAAATATTTTTTATTAGCCTAATATTTTTTTAGATATTTACCCAGATAGACAGACATGTTGGCAATAGCATGCATGAATTTAATGTATATTTTATGATACCATTAAAGCGGCATAACATGTTTGTAATATGCTTGCTATAAAAAATATATATTTATTATTCCATACTTTGCAGCAAAATATCAGTTCGTTTATATTGCTGATTAATTGTGTCCTCTTGCCGGCACAATTGTGGCAGGTGCCGCAATTTTCATGGTATCAGATTGCTTCTTTTATATGCTACTACAATGTTTCTTGTATGAAGATGCATTTTTATGTAGTTATGCTACTATTTTAAATCTCGAATTTAGTCTCTGTGTAGATAATCTGCCGAAATTTGTCTATCTGGGTTAGGGAAATATTTGGTAACTTTTTCTATATTTAGTTTAAGATATCTCGATAACTATTTGTCGGAAGGAAAAGTGGTACAAGACTTTTTTATTTTATTTAATCTTAAGAATATACTGTTACAATAGTGCTTTAACATTTGTTAACTTGATGATTTTGAAATTTCTAAGAGTTAATAAGTTAGGGCATTATTGTAACAGCATATTCTTGAAACTAAATGAAGTAAAAAATCTAGCACTTTTTCTTCCGATGAATAGAGATATCGTAAGTTAAATACTGAAAAAGTTACCGAGTTCTTCTTAAATATCTCAAAAAATATTAAGCAAATAAAAGAAAATGTTTCAGACAAAAGTTGTTAAAATTAATTGGTAGAAAAAGATGATATAATAAAAAATTGGGATTTCCGTTTAAGAAAAATTATGATCGGTGAATATCTCGAAAGTAGCGCTATCTATAAACAAAATAATATCGCTGTTCTATATGCTCCTTCAAATCAAGTAATTTTTGTCTGAGACGTTTTTCCATTTTTTCTTTTATATTTTATATTTTTCGAGATATTTAAGCGGATAATTTAAAATGAGTCATCTTGCATATATAGATATATATCTATATATAAAAGAATCAATAACAATCGTCCGCGATAGTTGCTCGCCCGTCGGCAAAAATATACCGCGGTAAAAATATTCGGTTCGTACTCGACAGCAACAATTAAACTTTACACGCGCAATGCGACGCTCGTGACTCGAGACTTCGCAACGAACAGTTCTAGGTTTTTTACGACGGCTCTTTATCTCGCGAACATATGAAGTTCCCTCTTCACATCGCTGTACGCGTTTTCATCTACGTGAAACGCGACAGCTTCGTCGTTAACTTAATCATTCCTCGGGTTTTTTAGCTGTTAACGTCGAATCGACAGAATCGAGGACAGTCGTCCGCGACAGTGGCTCGCGCGTTGGCAAAAATATGCGACGATAAAAATATCACGATCGATATGCGATAGCGACAATTCTACTTTATGTACACAACGTAACGGTCATGACTTGAGAATCTACTAACGGACCGTTCTAGTTTTTGGCGGCACTCTATTTGGAGGTATTGCACTCTTTACATTGCTATACGCGTTTTTTCACCTGTGGCAAAATGCGACGAACTTGTCTTTAATACACTCGAATGAAAAGGAAGAAGAGCTAACGCGTGGGTAAAAAATATACACACATACATGCTATACAGAGTGAGCCACGCAATTGAGATGGGTTATATCTCGAGTTTGGTTAGTAATACAAAAAAGTTGTGGAGAGAAAAGTTGGATGATTTAGGGAGGTCTATTTTCCTACGAGTTTATGTTTTCATAAATGCAACGATGTATCTAAAAGATGCAAATACACTCTTTTTTAAAATAAAATTACATTTTTTTTATGTAAATAGGTTGGTTCTCCGGAACAACCTGCATAAAAAAGTATTGGGGTAAAATTGTATGAAATAATTTAAAATAATTAGTAAAAAAATTAATAAGTCGCGAGATATTTTGAATTTTTGATAAATCGCATGTTTCATTGAAGATGTCCCGTAAATTGTAAATACTTGCAAATATCAGCGATCAACAACATTCGATTGTTTAAGGATATAAATTTTACAAGATCAACAATATTCTATTAGTTATAAGTAATTTATCGCCACAGGAAAATCTAATTCATACAGAAGCGAAACTATCATGAAAATGTTATTATACTAATAGTGAAAAAGTAGATACTTGTTTACTTGTTTTGTGTTCTGCAAGAAAAAAGCATTCTGTCGACGCTGATGCAAGATTGATAATGATATGTATCTTGAACGTGTTTAACCTATGTGACTATATTTTCATAAGCTTTTGAACATAATAAGGCATACGACTTACTAAAAATTTGTAATATCTCAAGTTTTTAAATTGCAGAATTTTTTTTTACATTGTACCTTAATACTTTTTTACGCAGGCTGTTCCGAGGAACTGACCTACAAAAAAAATGTAATTTTATTTAAAAAAGGAGTGCACGCACTTGGACACACATACATTTGCATTTTTAGGTGCACCGTTGCATTTATGAGAAAAGTAAATTCCTAGGAAAGTAGACTTTCCTGTACTATTCAACTTTTTATTCTACAACCTTTTTGCATTACTAACCAAACTCGAAATACAATCCGTCCCAATCGCGTGGTTTACTTTCTATATGCGTATATACAGCGTAGATCATTTTATTCAATATACACGCGAATATCTTGGAAAGAAGTTTTTAAAAAAAAGTTTCAGACAGAAGTCTTATGGCTTCGAGGGGGAAAGATGATGATATTATCAACTTAATTGTAAATGGTGCCACTTTAGAAATTTTGACATGACGGTTATTTTTTAAATGAAAATCAATTTTTTTCTTGAAATAAAAATTATAGCTAACAATGAAATGAGTACAATGGTTGTTTTGTTTTTTGAACTTCAACTTTTGTTTTTTGAATCATTTTTTAATAAGTTACAGTGTTCCAAAGTTTATAATTTAAAAGCTTCCATCCCCATACAGTGTGTGTATACGTTTTGTGACTCTAACCACCCTCTACTTCTCTCTTTTTCTTTCTCTCTTTCTCTCTCTCTATGTGTGTATGTGTGTATACGCGCGTACGTGTGTGTGTGCGTGTGTGTTGTTTCTACTCGTTATCTGAACTGATTTTATTTGATAGCACACACGCACACGCACGTGCGCGCGTATACATATATATATACACACACACACAGAAAGAGAGGGAGAAAGGTAAAGGATAGAGGTAGAGAGAGAGGCAGTTTGGAGTCACAAAACACATACGCACACTATATGCGGGTGGTAGCTTTTTAATTTAAATTAAATTAATAAACTTTAGAACGCTGTAACTCACTGAAAAATGATCCAATTTCAAAAAACAACAAACCATTGTACTCGTCTCGTTGTCAACTGTCACTTTTATTTCAAGAAAAAATCGAATCAAAAATTTCCATTTACAAAAAATGGCCACCATGATGAAATTTCCAAAGTGGCGTCATCTACAATTAAATTGATGATATCCTCATCTTTCCCCCTCGAAACCATAAAACTTTCGTCTGAAATATTTTTTTGAAAAACTTCTCTTTTTCAAGATATTCGCGTGTATTGGATAGAATGGTCTATTCTGTATATTTGCTGTCTTTCATTTCAATCGCAGAGCGTTTTTACAAAGAGAATACGGTCTCGTCTTACTGACACACACACACACATGCATATATACGTTCTATCCGCGCATTTACCTACCCTCTTCTCATTCAGAGTGTTAATGACGAGTCCGTCGCATTTAAAAGAAATCGCACATAGCGATGACAATAAATCGCGATACGAAATAAAGAGTCGTCGAGCACTAGAATTACTCGTCATAGATCTTCTAATCATGATAATGACAGTTGAGTAAACAAAGCTGAATTGTTGTTATCGAACATCGAGCGGATATTCGTATCGTCGCGCATTTCTGCCGACGGGCAAGCGACTGTCGCGGACGGTCGTCATCACCGATTCGCCGACTCGTCATCAACGGTCGAATAAGCTGACCGATTTACGCGCGGAACGCAAGTACCAGAAAAGACCGTCTCGTCTCCTCTTTGTAAGAGGTCTCTACGCTCGATACGGGAGATAAAAATGGACCTATGCTGACGATCGATCCCGCGTTCGTTCGAGCTCGTCGTGGTTCATTCAATCAGCGATGTAATTCTTTAAGAGTGTCGAGCGCGCGATTCGGCGCGACCTTTACTTATTCAAGAACTTGCGCATCTGCTTCGTCTGATGCTGCATGCTATATTGAGCGTTTTCAGCCTTCGAGATCAGCGAGTCCAGCTTGTCCAGGTGGGAGCCCATCTTCTGATTAAGGTCGATAGGCTTGGGATTGCTGTTCGGCTGGACGTCGCTCTCGGCAGCACACGTGTTACCCTCTATGAGCGTTTCCACCGCCATCACCTCGTCCGTCGCCGCAGGCTCTGCGGACCTCGGCTCCTGGAGCTGCTCCTGCTTTGCGTCGGGCTCCAGGTCCTCCGGCTTATGATGTGGCGTGCCGCTACGGGAGCCAACCTTCACTTTGAGCAACGTGCCGAGACTGCCACAGACTGTCTGCGAAATTTGCCTTACTTCAGCCGAAGATCTCTCTCTTCATCGTCGCTCTCGCGACGAAGGCGAATCACTGTTGAAGTGCGCGTAGCGGCGGTTTGCTCTTTTCCGAAGAACTCTCCGAACTGGTGCACAGCCGTGCGATAGGTTGGAACTAATTATGCTCCCGTCATAGCTTCAAGATCACAATGAGATAATGATCACACCGAAGCCACGGTGACATTTAACCCATTAACGTCCAAAAGTCCTAAAATATTAGTCTTACTTTGCAACTGTATTTTATGTAGAGAAACATATTATATAAGGTTGGAATAGCATTTCCTTGTGTTTTCGGGGTCGTTCTACAAGATTCTGGCATCAGAATTCGTTTAGATTCACAATAAAATCCAATATGCCGGAATTTTTTGAAAAAAGTCGTGAAAAATCGACAATTTTATTTTTTATAAGCTTGATTTCGTATCAAAAATATTACTTTGATACAAATACAAGTGTCACATCTTGTCTAAAAAATATTGAACTTTCAAGGTATGCATTGGTGAAAATGTGAATTCGAGATGGCTGCCTCAAAATGACGGTTTGAGCGAAAAAACTTAAAAAATAATATATTTTTAGAATAACTTTGCAAAATCCTAGTATTTAGCATCAATTTAGTATCCAGGGTATCCTGATTTTAGGATATTTGCTGACAACTAATTCATATTAGAGAATCTCAAAATGGCGGATCCAAGATGGCGACTAAAAAGCAGTAATAATCGTGAAAACTTCCAGATTTTCATGAATTTTCTTCTATTATTTTCATATTCATGAATTATTTTCGAGACGTACACACGCACACATACAGGGTGGGTAATTATAAACTTACAAACTTTATAAAAAACATAAAAAATATCGAGATAAGTACAACGGACGGGAAAAAATAAAAATCGACTACGTAAAGTTTTGAGAAAAATTGCTAAATAAATGAACGAATAAACGCTCAGTGGGCATGCGTTGTGGGCATCGCAGGCATACTACTCCGCACGGCTTGGGCCGGATTGGCAGGCATAACAGCGGACTGGCGCACGCCGTTGTTGCCTGTCAATCCGGTCCAAGCTGTGTGGAGTGGCAGGCCCGCGATGTTCGACCACTGCGCATTTATTCGCTCATTTATTTAGCAATTTTTCTTAAAACTTTACGTAGTCGATTCCAATTTTTTCCTGTCCGTTGTACTTATCTCGATATTTTTTATGTTTTTTATAAAGTTTGTAAGTTTATAATTACCCACCCTGTATGTGTGCGTGTGTACGTCTCGAAAATAATTCATGAATATGAAAATAATAGAAGAAAATTCATGAAAATCTGGAAGTTTTCACGATTATTACTGCTTTTTAGTCGCCATCTTGGATCCGCCATTTTGAGATTCTCTAATATGAATTAGTTGTCAGCAAATATCCTAAAATCAGGATACCCTGGATACTAAATTGATGCTAAATACTAGGATTTTGCAGAGTTATTCTAAAAATATATTATTTTTTAAGTTTTTTCGCTCAAACCGTCATTTTGAGGCAGCCATCTCGAATTCACATTTTCACCAATGCATACCTTGAAAGTTCGACATTTTTGAGACAAGATATGACACTTGTATCTGTATCAAAGTAACATTTTTGATACGAAATCAAGCTTATAAAAAATAAAATTGTCGATTTTTCATGACTTTTTTCAAAAAATTCCGGCATATTGGATTTTATTGTGAATCTAAACGAATTCTGATGCCGGAATCTTGTAGAACAACCCTGAAAACATAAGGAAATGCTATTCCAACCTTATATAATATGTTTCTCTACATAAAACAGTTGCAAAGTAAGCTAATATTTTAGGACTTTTGGGCATTAATGGGTTAACCCTTTGTTGCACGTTTTTTTCTAGTGCATATAATTTTGTGAAACCTGTTACCCGGAAGTTTCTGAGGTCGCTAAGTACGAATCCAGTTAAAAAAAATACAAGATTCAAAATAGCGGATCCAATATGGCGGATGTAATTTTCAAAGTCAATCGGATCCGCTTAAAACTTGTCACTCGAGGGATTTTGGGGTCTCTGATTACGAATCCTATGTTAAAAATACAAGATTAAAAATGGCGGATCTAATATGGCAGATGGAATTTAATTTACGGTCTGTCATTTTAAATCCGCCATTTTGAATTTTGAGAATTTGATAGCAGATTCGTAGTCGGAGATTCAAAAAACTCCAAGAAACCAAATTTCATAGAAATTGGAAAAACTCTTAATTTATGGTCTGCCATATTATATCCGCCATTTTGAATTTCGAAAATCAGACAACGGATTTATAATCAGTGACCAAAAAACATGAATATATACATTTTTCCGTAAATGTTTATTACCAAATTTTTCCAAGAACGATTTTTGAAAGAAAAAATATTTTTGCAATTATTTTGTTTATAACAAATAACTAATACAAAATAATAGTTGTACGACATGATGTATGCAAAGAATAATATCCGAGGATCCCGTAAAGACTTATTACATGATAAGAAACCCTTAACCTAAAATTTAAGAGACATTAAACGATGGCTAAAAAGGTGTCACATATATGTTGACTTGTGCAGCAAAGGGTTAACATCGCTTTATCATCAGTGTGATGTCTCTGTGTCATCATACTGGCGACAAAGCGGACATTCGCGCATTACTATGACCTCGGTGTAACCTCACTGTGATCACTGCGACGTTGATGCTGCGAGGTTTGCGCCTCAGTCCGACTTACCGCAGCGGCGTGCACCGGAAGTTGCAAAATTCGGCAAAGGACTTCTTTCAAAAGAGAGCCGCGAACGCGAGCGGCGTGTGACAATTTGTCTAGGCTGATCGATATATAGGCGCAGCAAAGTGCAGCGGCGCGGAGAGCAGCGGGGTTATGAATTTGAATGGCGTAAAGCATTCCATCGCCGTGGTATCGGCGTCGTAAATGCGACGCGAGGCGAGCGCGTTACGACGGAAATAATAATTAGCTCTCGGCACCGAGAGTGGATCGATCGGAAGGTGTGCGATTAATTAGGCCAAGTCACCTTGAATCTGTTGAGCTTCTTCTGCGTGGTGCTCAAGATGCTGTTCAGCTCGTCCAGCCCGCCGCCGATGCGCCCGGTCGCCTCGTCCGCGTAATCCAAGTCCTGGGAGATAAGACGAAGCGCGATGGAGGAATGACAGCCAGTCCCGGCCGCCGATGAACCCGCGCGAGATCGGCCGTGTCGGCGATACGTTTTCCGACGACCTAGCTCGCACGTGGACGCGCAACTCGACTCCGCCGCCGCGTCGAGGTAACGCGAGAGCGCGGCTGCCGTCGCGTGCGACGGTGCGTGGACACACGCACGGAAATCGCCCGCGGAGGCGATTTACACCTTTTTCCGACAACGCACGCACTTTTGACAGCACCTTGACGGCCGAGCGTCTCTCGCACGGTCGTTCATTCGGCCGCTAGATTCCAAAGAGAGAGAAAGAGAGAGAGAGAGAGAGAGAGAGAGAGAGAGAGAGAGAGAGAGAGAGAGAGAGAGAGAGAGGAGGAGGAGAGACGCGCGGTTCTCGCGATTCTCCCGGCGGGCAGCGGAAGCGAACTACATACATGATTATACCTGCAATGCACCGTTGTTTTCGTCGTCGTCGTTGCGATGGCTTTCATCGTCCGCCGCCTGCGCCTGCTGCCACTCCTCCACGCTCGGCTTCGGCAAGCCGAGTAATTCCGCCCTCTCGCAAGCGTGCTGGTAGTCCTGGGACATCACGCGTTCTTGCCTTTTCGTCTTCCAATGACGGTGTCCGCTCGGCACCAGCCGGTCCGACCAGGTGGAACGCGATCTCGTCGCTCGACGTGCTCTCGGGACCGAGTGCTTGTGTCCGCGAGCAGCCCTGGACGCGAAATTCCGTTAAAATCGTTGCACCCTCGGCCGAGGGCGTGCATCGCTCGGGGAATCCATATTGGGCGAGGGACTGCGCAAGCTCGGCCGACGGCGAGCGCCGCCGTCGAGGTGAGCAGAATTCGAGATGAGGCTCAAGGAGGGACTTTACACCGCGCGACCCGTCGCGCCAAGGTCGATCGCGACGATTAATCCCATTCGCGTGTAACTCTTTCCGATAGGATCACTACGCGTACCGATCTGCCTTCGCGTGGCGTATTCCCTAAAGGATAGTCGCCGGCGCACTAAGAAAAAGACTCCTTGTTGTCGTAACAACCACCCAAAAAAAGTAATTTCAGAACAAGTGGCATCATTCAAATTTTAGAAGATTTTATTCTTATATATGGACTCAAGAGGATTCCTCTAAAATTAAGAGGAAAATATTATAAACACATTATTCTTAATGTTAGATAAATTATATCAAATTTTCCAAAAATAACGGATCCTCCTCCTCCCCCCTATCTCAGAAGCTATGCATTATAACGAAAAATGACAGAACAAAAGTTTTAGGGTTCATAAAGTTCTGTTTTTTGTGACCTCAGATTTGACCTTGACCTCGACCTTGAAGGTCATTTGAAGGTCAATTTGCGGTGTTTAAATGGTAACCCCTATTTTTTATTACACTGTTTTTTTCTACCAATTAATTTGAACAACTTTTGTCTGAAAGATTTCTTTATTCGCCTAATATTTTTTTAGATATTTGAAGAAAACTTGATAACTTTTTCAATATTTAACTTACGATATCTCGTTAACTATTTGTCGGAAGAAAAAGTGATACTGGATTTTCTTGCTTTATTTAGTCTCAAGAATATATTGTTATTGTGCAATAGTGCAATTTGATGATTTTGAAATTTCCAAAAGTCAGTAAGTTAACAAAAGTCAGGGTGCTATTGTAACAATATATTCTTGAAACTAAATAAAGCAAGAAAGTCTAGTACCACTTTTTCTTCCGACAAATAATTAGCGAGATATCGTAAATTAAATATTGAAAAAGTTATAAAGTTTTCCTCAAATATCTCAAAAAATATTAGGCAAATAAAAAAATGTTTTAGACAAAAGTTGTTCTAATTAATTGATAGAAAAAACCGTGTAATAAAAAATATCCCATTTAAAAAACACAAGTTGATGTTCAAATGACCTTCAAGGTTAAATTTGAGGTCACAAAAAACAGAACTTTATGAACCTTAAAACTTTTGTTCGAGTCATTTTTCCCTATAATGCATAGATTCTGATATAGTGGGGGGGTCTGTTATTTTTGGAAAACTTGGTATGTTATATGTATAATGCAAATCTTATTGATTTTAATATAAACTTCCTTTTATACACAGATTACTTAAACATTTTTTAAGAGGATTATTATTCGTTTTTACTGTACCTTTTTATTCTTACTGGTTATACTATTAGATTATATTATTAGTGTGAATTAATTCGGTCCGTTTTTTTCTTCCAAAAAAAGACTTTAATATAAAAAAACATGAAAAAGTACACTAATCAAAGTATTTGCCATCGCTTGCTATAATTTTTCCCATCTGTCTGACAGTTGTTGCATTCCGTGACGGAAAAACGACTCGTTCTTCGAAGCGATCCATTGATTGAGTCATTTCTCTATTTCTTCATAATTGTTGAAGTGCTGGTCCGAAAGCCCATGTGCCATCGATCTGAACAAGTGATAATCGGATGGAGCAATGTCTGATGAATACGGCGTGTGAGGTAAAACGTCCCAGCCAAGTGCTTCCAAGGTAGCCTTCATAATCTTTCCAACATGTGGCCGAGCGTTATCATGCTGGAAGATCACTTTGTCGTGTCTCTTTGCATATTCCAGCAGCTTCAATGCGTTGTTTAAATGGATCAATTGTTGTTGGTAAAGTTTGGCAATGATGATTTAGCTCTGTTTTAATAGTTCATGATACACTACACCCTTTGGTCCCACCATATACAGAGCATTATTTACTTGCCGCGAATATTCCGCTTTAGTATCGATGTGGATGGTTTTCCTGGATCGCTAATGGATTTTCTTCGTTTGGGATTATCGAAATCCATCCACTTTTCGTCTCCAGTCACAATACGATGCAAGAAACCTTTTCTTTTTTGCCTGGCAAGCAAGATTTCAGACATGGCTTTTCGCCTCTCGATGTCTCTTTCTTTCAGTTCGTATGGCACCCATCTTCCTTCTTTGTAAATCTTTCCCATGGCTGCCAAACGCACAGAAATTGTTGATCGATCAACATTTAACAATTGCGCGAGCTCATGTTGCGATTGACACGGATCTTCATCGATTAGCGCCTGCAATTCCTCGTTCTCGAACTTCTTCAGCAGATCTGGACGAGGTTTGTCATCGACACTGAAATCATCACTTTTGAAACGTCGAAATCATTCTCTGCATGATTTATCGGTGGGAGCACTTTCATCATAAGCTTCTGCGAACATTCGATGAGCTTCAGCGGCATGTTTTCTTCAAATGAAAACAGAAAATGAGAACTTCCCGGAAATGATGTTTTTTTTGGTTCGAATTTCGATATTTTCGAATCAGATAAACACGATGTTATTGTTACAAATCCAAACATTTATCAACTGAATATTATTGACAGATATCAAAACTAAAAAATAAAGCCTTTTGTAGACATTAGAGGTTAGAAAATTACATACTACAGCAATTGACCGCTAGATGGACCGAATTAATTCACACACCTAATAGTTAATTTGAAAAAAATTTATCGTAATGTATAGCGAAAAATAATACATATATAGATGTACTTCCAGCTCCAGTTCTACAATAAGTAGGCACGGATGAAATTAGATTATCATAACAAACAAAGGATGGGTCTCAATAAGGCCGTTTTTTGGGCCCTCTTTGATTGGCTTGATACTATGAGAAATTATTACTGTTGACGTATCTCACAACCCCCTGAAACCCGTTTTTCGGTCGATCAATTAGAATCGAAGATAGAGCAGTTTGAAGATTCTCGATGTGCTACACTTTAATTCAGAATTCGTCATAGTTCTCTAAATTATTAATCGATCTTTTCTAGGTTCTTCTAAGTTTTTCTAAGTTATTAATCAATCTCGGCCATCAAACTTTTTCAAAAACTATGATGTTGATGAATAGTATGAAACGCGATGAATAGTAGATTGCTACTTTTTTTTACAAACCATACATTTCTTCTCAGATATAATACATCTTTTTATATTTACCGCCACTTTTGCAGAAGTTAACGGAATATCTTGCAAGTCTGAAGATTCTGACATTGTAAGTACTTTATTAGCATCGTTAGTGTAGTTTTCGAAGAAAAATCAGTTATTGCTTTTTCCTTGACTTTAGTACAAAATGTCGGCACTCGCGCCGAATAATTATCAATCGTTTGAATATACTATTATATTTTCTTTTCTTACAATATCTACATTAAGAATGGATCGACCAACAAGAAGTTCAAAAGTACTTTTTACGTACTTACCACATACCAAATAAAATACTTTTCTTTTGAGTGACTGAATGTTTGCTGTTTGCTAATTGTACCGGGGAACAAATCAAACATAGTTACCGCGACAAATCATTTTTCGTTATTTGTAATTTTAAGAAATATACGTCACCGGGGATGCAAATCATATATCAGGTATGTAAATATGAAACCGGAATTTTTGTATAGAAAATATACGATTATTGTATGAAAATGATAAAAAATATGTCATTCGAAGTGTTGCCCATCGCTAGCTATACATTTTTCCCACCTGTCTGATAATTTGTGGATGCCACGGCAAAAAAACTGTTGCTCTTTTGAGGCAAACCAGTCATCGAGCCATTTTCGTACATTTTCGTAAGAAGTGAAGCGCTGCTCAGCAAGTGCGTGTCCCATCGATGCAAATAAGTAGTAATCGGACGGAGCCAAGTCTGCTGAGTAAGCCGCATGCGGAAGTATTTCCCAACTAAACGCCTCAATCGTTTCCTTCACCAGTTTTGCTGTATGTGATGGTGCATTATCATGAAGCAAAATCACTTTGTGTTGCTTTTTTTGATATTCTGGTCGTTTTTCACGCAAAGCTTGATTCAAATCGATCATTTGTTGTCAGTAGCGTTCAGTATTAACGATTTCGTCAGGTTTTAGCAGCTCATAATAGATCACACCCTTCTGATCCCACCAAACACAGAGCGTCTTCCGTCTTCCGTCCATAGCGATTTGGCCTTGCAGTCGATGTCGATGGTTCGCCTGGAGTTACCCATGATCTTTTATTAGGATTCTCAAAATATATCCACTTTTCATCGCCAGTCACAATTCGATGGAGAAATGACTTTCTTTTGTACTTGGCGAGCAGCATTTCGCAAGTGGTTTTTCGGTTTTCCTGCTGTCTTTCATTCAGTTCATGTGGAACCCATTTTCCCATCTTCTGGATCTTTCCCATGGCTTTCAAGCGTATGGAGACAGCTTCTCGTGTCACATTTAATTGATCCGTGAGTTATTGTTGCGTTTGAACGTCATCCTCATCCAACAATGCTTGCAATTCGCTGTCTTCAAACTTTTTCGGTGGTCTTCCACGTTCTTCGTTTCTCACGTAAAAATCGCTACGTTTGAATTTTTTAAACCACTCAAAACACTGTGATTTACCAAGAGCATGTTCACCGTAAGCTTCGACAAGCATTCGATGCGATTCTGTAGCAGTTTTCTTCAAATGGTAACAGAAAATCAATGCTGTCCGCAAATCGTAGCTTCCAGGCACAAAATTCGACATGTTCAACGCTATTACAAACTATGCTGTTGTATGAAACTTGTATTGTTGTGAGTTGAAAATCTTTGTCAGATGTCAACAAATGGAAATGGCGCCAATGACGCGGTTTGACGGTAACTACATTGACAGCCAGGGCTATCTGTGGGCAAATTCCGGTTTCATATTTACAGACCTAGTATGTTTGTTGGATGTACAACTTCTAGTAAAAATAATAGCAACGTCGTAATAGCGTAATATACACAGGGTTCGGGATCTTTTAGAAACGACTCAGGCAGAACAGAAAATGACGAGAAAATGACCGAATCACCGAACCGATGAAAAATAAGTTTTCCTCATCATTTTGACGTCATTTTGATGTCATCATGATTTTCTATTCTGCCTGGGAAAAATTGTGAAGATTAATCAAATCAAACTAAGAAGAAAAGTAGCATTTTGCACAAATAGCAATAGTTATTAATGGTTGAAAATGACCACATCTAGAAACTTTTTTAATTGATAAGTTGAAAATTTACGTACTTATTTGCAAAATGGTAAAGGACTTTTTTGTTCAGAATGACTTAATCTACAATTATACGACGGCTATTGCGTCTAGCAACAGGTTCAAGATTCAGGGTTCAAAGTTCAATATACTCATATCTAACGCTAGACACAAAAGTCGTCATATAATTGTAGGTTAGGTCATTCTGAACAAAAGTCCTTTACCACTTTGCAAGCAAGTACGCAAATTTTCAAGTTATCAATTAAAAGACCTTCCAGATGTGGTCATTTTCAATCATTAATAACTATTGCAATTTTTGTAAAATAGTACATGACTTTTCTTCTCAGTTTGATCTGATTAATTTTCACAATTGTTTGTTTTCAAAAGATTCCAGGCACCCTGTACATAGATGTGTGTGTACTTTTCTGTGGTCTACATTCTGAACTCTTATATATAGGTAAAAGTATCTCTGAAAGTGTTATATCAATAAGCTTTTTTTAAGTAGCTACGAACTACTTTTACAGACTTTTTTTTTTATAAAAGTAGATTTGCAGTACGAGCCTTTGTATGTATATCCCTCTTAACCTTACTTAACCTTATCTAATAGTTTATTAATTTTATATAATATGTTGTGCTAAAAATAAAGATTAATGTAATAATGCGTTACTTTATTTCTTTCTCTGAATTCCTACAAAACACACACATAGAATTATTATTTTGTTAACCCTTCTTTACCAATGTTTGATTAGATGTAATGAAGCTATATTTGAATTATCTGGTAATTATAATACGCGCTAGTATAGCCTCGCATATATGGTTTCAAAGTAAAATATTTACGTATTTTGCTATATCTTATACATTAGTGAAGAAGAGTTAATAGAGTTAGGTGTTTCGGTTAATTTTGAGGAATTTTTTGCAAAAAGAAGACATTTATTTTTGCGAGACATTAAATTATATTTTATTCAAAATATTTTCCATCATTAGCTATTACTTTTTTCCACTTTTTGAACAACAAGTGAATTCCGCGATAAAAGAAATGTTTGTCCTTCGAAACAATCGACTCATCGAGCTATTTTTGTATCTCTTCATATGATTTAAAACGCTGGTCAGCAAGGCTGTGCTCCATAGATCGAAGTGGAAGGAGCATAGTCTGGTGAATACGCGGCGTATGGTAGGATCTCCCATTGAAGTGCCGATAACGTATCTTTAACTGTTTTTGCAACGTGCGGTCGAGTATTGTCATGCAACAAAATCACTTTGCGTTTTCTTTGAACTATTATTGGACGTTTTTGATTTAAAGTATGATTCAAATCGATTAATTGTTGTTGATAGCGCACAGCAGTGACTGTTAGATTCGGTTGTAGCAACTCATAAAATATGATGCCTTTCATATCTCACCAAATACACAATAAAACCTTATTTCTGTAGATGTTGCGTTTTCGGAGTCGATGTCGATGGTTGGCCTGGACTTATCCAGGACTTTTTATGGTTAGGATTATCATAGTAAATCCATTTTTCATCTCTAGTTATAATTTGATACAAGAACTGCTTCTTTTTGTGACGAGAAAGCAATGAAATGCAAATGGTTAAAGGATTTTGAATAGGCAATTCAGATAATGTATGTGGAACCCATTTGCCATCTTTTTAAATCTTTCCCATTGCGTGTAAACGATCTGAGATGGTTGATTTGTCAACCTTTAATGCTTCAGTTAGTTCTTGAAGCGTTTGAGCTGAGTTTTCATCCAATAATGCCTGTAATTCGGCATCTTCAAACTTTTTCGGTTGACCTGAACGTTCTTTGTCTTTCAAATCCAAATCACCAGGCCGAAATCGCCGATATTAGTACTCGCATGTTTCAACCGATGGAGAAAAGTCAGAATAAGTTTCTGAGATGAATCGGTGGGCTTCAGCAGCCATTTTCTTCGAGTCGAAACAATAAAGCAGTAAATGTCGAAAATACTCCTTACTACTTGCTATTTTCAACCGCATAAAAAAGTGTGGTTATGTTCACGAATGCACATGCCATGTGTCAAATTATTTGTAGAAATGTCTAAGCTTTGAAATGGCGCACCAACTTTCAAAACATCTCTAGTAGATTTGTAGCTATAGCCATCTGTATTAAGCCCTCAAAACTAACCGGAAAGCCTAATACAACTGATTCGCTTGTACATAATTTCTAACCTTTGCTCATACTCTATATCGCCAACAAATAAAAAATTCATGATTTGTTGGATTAACAATACCATTTGTTCCGATTGTAAGGTTGTCGGTTGGAGCAACAAATTATATAAGTAAAAAATAATTTGTTCCCACAACGGAGTCATTTGCTGTCCCACGTTAACAAGCCGTTTGTTGCGGTTACTGGCGTTTTGTTAACCCGACAAAACCTTTTCTCTCCGTGCAGAAGTGGGGCATTAGGAGCCGCGGTATATAAATAGAGCTCTCACGAAGATGGGTCATAAAAATAGTATCGAGACTCTGCATCCCGTGCGAGGAGACGCGAGGATGAAGCCGAATGTCACGAACGGTTGCCCTCCAGCGAACTTAACAGGCGGAATATTGTACGGATTATTTTTCCGTCGTGGAGCGTGACAAAATGGAGAGGAACTCGATTTTCCGTCGCGACGTTTGTACAGACGCTGGATCGTGCGTCACGCGTCCGGCGGAGTATAAATTGAAAAGCGTGCGTTCTCGCGCACGCACTCGTAAACTGCGCGAAAGCCAGTGGTATCAGATGGCGAGAGATGAGAGGGAGAGCGGGAGTTGCGCGGTTCTGTCTCAGGGCGGCGCACAGTGAGGTGAACGCATCAGAAATCGGATATTGGACAAAAAATTAAAAATGCATAATTCGACTTTGTGACGAGTGTTTTCTTTAATATATATCATGAACTATAAATAAATTTGTTTATAAATGATTATATGCCTCCTTCTTTCCTCAGAATGATCCGATGATGTGTGGCATTTTCGTAAATATAGAAATTCCGATAATAAAATAGCTTACCTTCTAAATTTTTTGTAGAAAGCACAACTGCAAATATACCATAAATGCTTATAAGAATTTGTTTATTAGGTTTTAAAGAATATATTTATTTTAGACTTATATCATTTGAGTACTATTATGTATTAATAAATATATGACGTATTCGACAGATAAAAAGAAACTCTTACTCCATTATTCGAAGATGGAGAAAGTTTTTGGAATGGGATGGAATGAGATGAAGTTTTTATCATTTGTTAGAGCAAAGTATCTAATTTCTTAATATGCTTGATATGTATCCCACTTCGTCCCCCTTTTGTAAAAACATGTATAATTAAAGTTCATTCGATTTGGTCAAAAGTTCTTCATTGAACCATTCTCTCAGCAATATTCCAAATAGGAACTAAATATCGACGTTACTTCGTTTGCAGTATTGTATATATCGTTATTTTGTAAGAACGATATGACAAAAATTTTAGTATAACACCAATATAAGATATCTAATGTCGCTATCATATTATCCATATTATATATCCATATTATAGAAGATTTAATAGAGCATTCCATCTTGTATATTGGTCTTGTTAAAGTAAAAATAATACATATAGAGAGGTTTAGCAAGAATTGTATACAAGGTAGGATATTCTATTTTCGAAACTTGCTTTGCTAATAATTTTTTAACAAATAATGAGCGACACAGCTAACTTTTTGAATAAACCTAGTCGATTTGCATTGCATTGTTTTTTTTTTTTCAGTAAAAAAGTCTTGTACTTTACTTTGTATATTTCATTTTTTTGTACTTAACTTTTTCCATTTTCATATACGTCTTTTCAATAAAGGCCTTTTTATAACTCTCCTTTCATATTTTGCCTAAATAGTACTTGCCGTTCTATGCAATGCTTAAGGTATTATAAATAAACATTGGTTACATTGAATGGAATTTTCTTTTTCGAACGAATTTTAATTCCTACTTCTTCACGTGTACTTCTTAATCTAGAAATTTCGCAGATTTCTCCGAACGATGTAAAAGAATCACAACTCAAAAAATACGAAATACTCCGGAAAAGATCGATTTTATCACTCAAAAAAAGTTTAAATCTTATGATGCTTTTATGAGGATACTGTTCAGAAAGATCCAGAACATGTAAAAAAATGAGATAATTTTGTGAAAAAATCGAAAGTGGAACAGATTTGATTATTAAAAATTGCACTAAATACCTTTATATTTGCAAAATTAACATGCTGTTAATGCAATATTACTCGTGACGTTATGAAATTTACTTCATACTGTTACAGAAAATTATCTATACTTTTTATCGATAACAGTAAAAGGCATGAACGTATATGAACATAGACTTATTGAAGACAGCCGCATTTTTCTATATATTTGACGGCGTGACATTATTGTGCCACATAATATAGATGATTTTTATTTTATACACTAAAAATATATCAATTGTACATTATTTGTATTAAATTTCAAGTAATTCCATTGAAAAATGTAGGAGTTATAAGCAAATGACCGAAAAATGACACATTCGCCCCACGGTGCGGCGGCACCGTGTCGTCATGGCCGGCCGGCCGCTCATAATTAATTTCAATCTCATCGATACCCAGCGGCCCATACAAATACCTCTCTCTCCCTCCCCCTCTGTCTTTCTCTCTCACCCACGCGTAGGTCGTAAAGGCGGACGGGTGCGCTTATATAAGCTACGCGACAGCATGATCGGTTTGCATTGTTGTCGCAGCGAACTGCATCGCCTTGCGCGAGCGACGCGCGAATCACGGCATTGACAATGTCGTCCGGAATCGCGACGCGACGGATCGGCTGCACCTTGTTGAGCCTGTTGCTCGTGTTCTCCGCGCAGGTGAGAGAGACGGGGCTGTCCTGGATTCATGGCGAGAGGAAGTTGAGAGGACCTGCCGGAAGAGGCAGATCTTTCCGTCGCGATTAGCGAAATCGCCGTCGTGCGAATGGCGTCTTCAAACGGGTATTTCCGCAAATGGAGGACTCGAGCTTTCTCGGGTTTCCGGTTGCGGAGGTTAGATTTTTTATGCCACACGTTGATCGCTACGGAATTCACGGTGACTAGGCTTGGGAAGTAACTCGTTACTTGTAACGAAGTTATGGTTACAATTATTTTTTTATGGTAACTGTAACTTAACTTCGTTCCGTTTTTTCCATCTGTAACTGTAACTTACTTTAGTTACATTTGTTTGATAACTAGTAATTAATTTAATAAATACTTTAATAGTTACTTTATATATTTCAAACTTAAGTTTCTGGTAGACCAGCATGATAAAGCGATGTGCGATGCTTGATATCCAATAAGCATACAGTTATTCTGGCTGTATTTGGTAAACGCGCTACTACGTCATCTATCTTTATCGTTCATTAGATGTAAAATAAGGATAAAATGACGCAATAGCGCTAATAGTCTCCTCTCCGAACGCAACCTGTATTTCTTTCAAAAAAATTGTACGCCTATTGGACATTTCCGTTGCGCATCGCCAGTCTTTATTTATTAACATAACCTACGTTCAGCGTAAAGTGCGCTGTGTGGTTTCAGTTATATAAAAAATTCAAGCAATGGTTAACATTTCAATTTTCGGAGAAGGATTGAAAAATGCCATGGCCAGTATATACAGAAATATTCGAGTTGCAGCAAAAATTTGGAAATAAGAACAACTGGGCAAAACATGCACCGGCAAAAAAATTATTCATGCAAATAGAACTTCAACTGCAAATTTAAGAAAATATATGAGTGTAGATCTTTATTTACAAAATATATTTTTTAATGAGTAAAATCTAATTTTTCATATTAAAATTACTTTTAATATTTTTAGTATTTATTATCCTCATCAAATTCATTCACTTTCTTATAATTGTTATTAATAGTCTTAAAGAATAAAAGTGAATTGCTTATTTAAATTAATGAATCTAATTTGTAAAAATTATACGAGAAATATAATAATCAATAAATTACTTTCATATAAAATTGAAGGAATTTATACAATTACGAAATTTAACATAATAGCACAATTATTGTAAAAAAGTAACTGAAAAGTAACGACTCGTTACTTTCTAAATAACTATAACTGTAACATGTTATTTCTGAAGGTCAATAACTTGTAATTGTAACTGGTTACTTTTTCAGTGAAAAAACTGTAAATGTAACTAGATAGTTTTGCAAAGTAGCTTTCCCAATCCTGACGGTGACACATTTTTTACGGCTACATTCGAAATCCGGTAATCGCAACTTGTCGTTTGCCTATTTCTCAAGATTCATTCTGTTGTTGGTCAAATTAAAGAGAGAGAGAGAGAGAGAGAGAGAGAGAGAGAGAGAGAGAGAGAGAGTGAGTGAGTGAATGAAAGAGTGAGAGAATGAGAGAGTGAGAGAGTGAGAAAGTGAGAGAGTGAGAGAGTGAGAAAGTGAGAGGGTGAGAGAATGAGAGAGTGAGAGGGTGAAAGAGTGAGAGAGTGAGAGTGTATGTGTGAGAGAGAGAGAGAGAGAGAGAGAGAGAGAGAGAGAGAGAGAGAGAGAGAGAGAGAGAGAGGGAGGGAGGGAGGGGGGTGGAAGGCAGAGACCAGCTTCTAGCATTATCGCGGATTTCGGCGTGAATTCGGCAGTAACAATGCCGCCAATATCCGTACGATCGCTCCAATATTGCGGCGTGTTGTCGAGTCGCCCGGCATCGGGAACGATGCTCGCGGCGCGAGTCGTTAAGTTCTCCGTGACCTTCGCTACAATGAAAACGCCAAAAGTGATCGCGCGGGCCTGGGGATGCAGAGAGACAAAGAGAAAAAGAGTCGCGCTCGCGATTATCGCGCTCGCCACGTGTAAAACGGATAATTTTGTTCTCCGACTAGTTCTCGGCCGGAAGAGGGAAAAAAGTCCGCTGGCGTGCGTGCGGAGGAAGGCCGAGCGCTCGGACGGCGCTCGGGCGAACTCCGCGTTCCTAGCTAAACGATAAGTTTCTCACCAAGGTGCAACGTCCTTTCTCCAGGCGCTCGACCACGACTACGAGGCGTACTGGCGCGACGATCGGATAAAAACGCACCCGAGGAACGATACGATCCTGAGCAGTCGCGAGCTCCTCCTCGAGCGGCTGATTCACGTGGAGCCGAAGGCGAGCTACGGCCTGCAGGAGGCGACGGAGCAGCTGCTGCACTACGGCGCGCTACTGCGAACGCAAGTCTTGGACACCTTCGGCAACCTTCTGTACATCCACTACGACGACTTCAGCGTGCGGGAGGTCGAGGCTGTGCGCAGGGTCTACCGGGAGACCCTCGAGCGGCGCTACAACATATTCCAGCTGGCGGTGAGCATGCTGAGGAAGCCGGACATGAGGCCTTGGAGGATCTGCGCCGATATCTACGCGGAAGCGGAAGCCTGCCTGAGGAGCAGCGCTGATGTATGCCGCGGCATCAGGAAGCGACATGACCTGTCACATCCCGACGACCACCTCGTCATGCACGCCTCGAATGTCACGTACTTGGTGTTCCGTTCGTCCAAGATTGCGAGGCAGTACCCTGGCGGGTTCTCTTTACCAGCATTGTTGACATTTCTGCACCGGGGAGTCCTGTCGATCACGCCCGGCCTGTTGTCTGGGCTTCTTCATCACGTGAAGTACGACGATTATGACGCTGACGTTCTCCTCGCCGAACGGGAGCTCGTACGCCATTTAAACGAAGTTGCGAGCACCAGCAAGCGTAGTTCTCAGGCCGTCCTGGAGCCGATGTCGCCGAAGGACCTGAAGAGGCACCATAGTGTGGCGTCCTTGCTCAGGTACTACATCAGTATCCACGTAGAGAGTCTCGCGAGCAACGAGCTGAGGAGGCACGCGCTCCTCATCGTCAAACACTTGATCGACGACATTGGCGTGATCGATGAGAATATTCACCTGCTCGGCAACGTCTACGAGAACGGCACGATTCACGTCGGGTATCTCTTCGACCTGGTGTTGCCTGACGACGTGCTGCACGACGACGTAATCGAGGCTAAAAGATACCTGGTAGATAAGCTGAACGAGCTCGACGTAGTCGAAAGGTACCTCAGGGTGTCCAAGTATCAACAAGCCACACCAGCTCACCTGCTAATGGAGATCACCGGCCAGCTGCAGGATGTCGGCTTCGCCGAGAACATCGCGATGGCTCTTCGGATACATGCGAGATTCTGGCGCAGGAGTTACATGGTCGAAAGTCTGCACGAGCTGCTTAGGCTGTTCGACGCGTACGAGAACCTGCGACGGGTAGCGCGCTACAAGGACATAATGAGGAACCTCGACAAGATCAGACAGAGTCTGTCTGATATGCAGGACGTGCCCGTCGAGATCCTCTGTAACGCGCCGCGAGCTTGTCTACGGAACGGCCTGCGGATGCTCTTAGATTGCAAGCTCGTAAGCCCCGAGATCAAGGAGCTCATCGGGGATTTTCTCAAGCAATTATCACCCAAGGGCGCTCCGTTGGATGACGTGTGCCTGACGAGTTCCATGAAAGTGATAAAATTCCGACGCACGACGGATATCCAGGACGTGGATGTGTCGGAAAACAGCCTCCCTGTGGAGAGCTCCGAGGCTCACGCGGAAACACCGGACTTGGACGATATATCCGAGTTGGAAACGACGGAGATCGACACGACGGAGCAGGAAACGACGACTCGATCCACTCCACGGAAAGAGGAGGACGATCTCAGCGCGGCCATTACGCAGAAATCGGAAGAGAGCTCAGAGTTACTCGTTGAAAACTCGGATGAAACCACGGAGAGGCTTTCAGACGAGACTGGATCGTCTCTGGAAGAGAGCGTGGAATCTCCGAGCACGAAGGCGGCCGAGAGTACGATCTATGAAACAACTGAACCTGTCTTAACTATGACGACGACGAGGACGACGACGACGACGACGGCGACAACGACGATGATAGACGACATATCAGAGTCTCGTCAGGAAGAGACGACCACAGCTGCGACAAGCACAGTAGCAGCGACAACGACCACGACCGCAGCGACTACTACATCAGCCACGACCGTAGAAGACGAAGAAGTGCCGAACATTGACATAGAATTGGAGAAGAAGTTGACGATCACGATGAGCGCAATTCACGACGAAGACTCGGACTCGGTCGGTGCCACCTCGATGAGCCCGATGACGCCTGTCGTGATCGCTTTGAAGAGCTCCTGCGAATTGGGTGAGTGCAGTGCCGAGCGAAGCTCGGAAGAGAGCGACGAGCACGAGGACACGTCGACTACCTTGGCGGAAAATGCAACCACGACGACGATTGTGCCGACTACGCAGGGTCTCGCTATCTTCGAGACTACGAGTGAAACTTGGACAACATCGCCTGGACCGTCGTCGAGCCAGAAGGTCTCGGGGGAGACGACAGCGCCGGTGGCGAGCGAAACGCTCGTCGCTGAAGGTAATAACATTATATTACACTTTGCAAGATGATGCTTAACGAGATAAAGCATATCTCTTCATTTTACAACGACGCAACGACGTACACCGGTAACTTAGAAATAGTGTTATATCTAGATGATTTCAAAATTAGCCGGATGACGAGATAACACGAAACGTGTAAATTTCTCTCTTAGCACTTTATTCTAGATAAATCCCAATGCAATCTCAGTCTCAATTCCGCCTGACACGCAACGCCAACGTAAACATCACGCGATGTGGAAACAAATATTACTATATTTTACATGTTCGCAACAATGTAGGCTAAATCATTCGTGAACGTCATCTTGGATAACTTCATGAAGATAATACGTTTGCCAATTTAAAAGAGAGACGCAGGTGAAGATAATATACACATACATTATTTGAATAAAAAAATAAGTTGGCACCAGAACTATGTCTGAACGATTTTATCCAGCTAACAACAAATATTGCTCGGAAAATATATTCCTCATTGAGCGTTAAATAGCGTTAAATATATATCAATCACAATAGACAGACCTTTGACATTACAACATTACATTGTATACTACAACAGACCTTGAACCCTTTGTGGTCGTAGCGGCATCCGGATGTCCATTAGTTGGAAACGAACAACACGGCTAGAAACTTACGTTCAGTCAAAAATTTTCTATTTATGATCTTGAAATTTTGAAAAATCAACAAGTTAATAAAAGTTAGGACACTATTGTAACAGCATATTCCTGAGACCAAATAGAATAAAAAAGTCTAATATCATTTTTTCTTCCGACAAATAGTTACCGAGATATTGTGAACTAAATATTTAAAAAGTTACCAAATTTTTCTTAAATATCTCAAAAAATAGTAGGCAAATAAAAGAAATATTCCAGACAAAAATTGTTGAAATTAATTGCTAGGAAATGATGATGTAATATAAAATTGGGTTTTCCATGTAAGAAAAGTGGTGATCAGTGAATATTTCGAAAATAGCGTCATCTCTAAACAAAATGATATCGCTATCTTATGTCCTCTTTCAAAACAAACAAGTTTTGAACATTAGTCCGTATCTTTTATAGTATCTTTTTCGAGATATTTGAATGGATAAATTGAAATAAGCCACCTTGTACATATATATGTATATATATATATATATATATACACAGTCATTTTCTATTTATTATTTTTTTCATCTTGTTACAATATTTTTTAGACGCGGATCAATCTATTATTATAATACTTGTACGCGAAAACCTTAAAAATGACCACATCTGGAGATTCTTTTAATTGATAACTTGAAAATTTACGTACTTATTTGCAAAATGATAAACTTTTTTTCTTCAGAATGACCTAAGCTACAATTATATGACTGTTATTATGTCTAGCGGCAGGTTAAAGATTTAGGGTTCAAAGTTCAATATACTCACATCTATTGCTAGATATTCATTTCAATAATTAATAACTTAATAACTACTGCGATTTCTGCAAAATGGTACTTAACTTTTCTTCTCAATTTGATCTGATTAACCTTCACAATTTTTCACGATTTTTTTCAAAAATTCCCGGGCACTTTATATAGAGTGAAGCATGTAAAACAGACTACCTGGATAACTTTGAAAATATGCAAGATATAAAAAAATGTTAAATACAGAAGTTGTAGAAGTTTTTTAAGCGACGCATCATATAGCAGTAATAATATGATTTTGAACAGTATCATCAAGATTACGAGGTCACCTTGAATTTGATTGGAATAGCAGCCCCAATTTTTTATTATATCAATTTTTTTCCACCAATTAATTTGAAGAACTTTTGTCTGAAACATTTTTTTATTTACTTGATATTTTTTGAGATATTTAAGGGAAACTCGGTAACTTTTTCAATATTTAGCTTACGATATTTCGGTAACTCATTCATCCGAAGAAAAAGCAGAGAAAGGGGATACTAGACTTTTTTATTCTATTTGATCTCAACTATATACTATTACAATAATGTTCTAGCTTTTATTAATTTGATGATTTTGGAATTTCCAAAAGTCGTCACGTTGACAACAGTTAGGACACTATTGTAACAATATACTCTTGAGAGCAAATAGAGTACAAAATTCTAGTATCACTTTTTTCGACAAATAGTTGCCGAAAAGTCGTAAGTCAAATATTTAAAAATTTACCAAGTTTTCCTTAAATATCCCAAAATAATATTAGGCAAATAAGAAAATCTTCCAAACAAAAGGTGCTAAAATTAAATAATAGTGGAAAAAGATGATATAATAAAAAATTGAGGTTTCCATTTAAGAAAAGTAATGATCAGTGAATATTTTAAAAGTGGTGCCATCTGTAATCAAAATTATATAGTTGTTCTATGTCCTCTATGAAACCATATAATTTTTGTCTGAAATATTTTTCTCCAAAATATCGCGTTTACAAAAAAAAAAAATCGGGTGACCAGGTGGTCTGGGACACCTTGTATATAATATCGAGGTTTCAACTATTAAAATATTATTGTTGGCTATTCTGCAGTAGGAAAGAGATTAAATCAGGCTCTTGCGACACTAGCGATCACTTATCTCTCTCCTTAGTTTGCGACCGTCATTTGTTCCTACTTCTCTTATCTCGACATTGCATCGTTCCGCCTAAACAACCTGTAAACAAACAAATTACCTATGCCGGGCATAGCCCGACTTGTAACTGCAAAGAATTAACATCCGCGAACGCGGTTTTTTACTTTTTAACGCGGTCGGCCAAGTTCCTGTAGCGATTAATTTAACCAAACAAAACACGATGCAGGCGAGAAGTGCACGGAGTCGTCCTGCTCGGAGGAGTGCGCTGGCTCCAAGAGTGAGAGCGTCGAGTCGCCGAGCTGCTGGCGTACCGGAGACTGCTCGGGCAAGTCTTGCTCAGGCTGCGACTCTTTGATGGAAGATTGCGATGACCAGAGCAGCGACTTCGAGGACTCGAAGACCGAGAGACCAGCGAACAGCACCGGTGTCGAGTGCCGGCCTGAGGTCGTCTGCGAGAAGGAATCCTCCGCGAAGTTCCCGGCAGGGTGCGATGCGCCGAAGAGCGGGAGGAGCGACAACGAAAGATGCGTGAAGGTGTGCGCCTCGCGGGAGAAGGCGCGGTCCTCCTGCGAGGACCAGGATGGCGACTGCTCAGGCAACGCTGAGCTGCCGACGGTGGAGCTGAAGCTGGAGCGCGCGCGAAATCGGAGCGTGTGCGAGATCCCAGACCCTCATCATCGTCGGCAGATGCGGCGCCTGGCGAGGATGCGAGCGATCAGCGCCGCGACGTCGCGCCAGGACGACGTCTCTGCGTCGCTGAGGAGGTGGCCACGTCGAGGTCGAGGTCGGCTCGCGACCGAGGAGCTGTACGAGCTCCTGGCGAACAGGCTGCCCCATGACGAGAGCGACAGGACGAGGACGAGGACGGGGACGGCGGAGGAGCAGCCGTCGCCGGGCGCGATGATGAAGATGAAGTTGGAGACGGGCGGAGGTCGGAAGAAACGTACGTTCGGTCGCAAGCAACGGCACCAGCTGTACACGTTGAAGGAAAAGCTGGCGAGGAGACATGGCGGCGGAAAATCGAACACCGCGAGGCAGACGTATCGATCGACCAGGACCAGGTCGGCTCGCCGCGGTCACACGGACAGGATATCATCGTCCTCCAGGAGAGACCCGAGGTCGATCGTCGTCGCGCCGCTTCGCGAAGGCGCGATGATGTATTGGGATCTGTCGGTGTAAAATTACGACGTCGTATCGCACTTATCGGCAGAAAATGTCCCGCGGAGGTTAACGAAGCCCCAGTCGAAGTCGGCCAACTGATTATGTTTGTGAACAGGGCGTTTGTCGAATTCGATTAAATGATTACACTGGAGACGTTGAGATATTAATATAGTCGTCTATATTTAACTCGCCGCTATCGCGCTAGGAATGATTCCGCGATTGAAAACCGCGCCACGGCGTCCGCGGTTAATTCGCGTTACGGTTAATGAGCTTTCGATCGAGAGCTCGCCGAGCGGCGATTTGCGCTGCGAATCGGCCCGCTTGAGACGCGCCCTCCCCCTCCCGTCCCTACCGAATTCGATTCTAATGTCGATACGTTGGAGACCCCCGCGACTTTCGCTGGTCATCGAGGATAATTCTACGATCCAGTGCGATTTATTTGATTATTTATTTAGGGGACAAATTTCTTCTTGGGAAAGGAAAAGAAAGGGAAAGGGAAAGAAAAAGAAGAAGAAAACATCACCCCTCCCACACACACACACACGCACAGTATGCACACAGCACACGTGCGCTGCATGCACGCACACTCCTCGATATCTCCTCGATCAATGTGCGGTTAATGACGTGCAATGCTGACACAACGGCGTGTTGGAAATTAATTCATTATCGAAGGGGGGAAGAGAAGTCGCACATGGAAATTCTTGCACGCGAACTTGTCGCGCGAGCGGAACGTCAACCATGTGTGAAAAGTTATACACGAAAGTTTCAACGGGTCACACGCACGAGCGGAAAGCCGCAATTATTGCATATTTATTAATCACAAGCTGTTTCTCTCATAGTAGCCGCTCATAGTGGTCTTCCACGTGGCTTCAGCTCGCTCGATTAACTCTCATCGGGCGTTAGAGTCAATTTGTGACCCTCTTTGAAATTTGAAATTTGAATGGAACTCTTTTCATACGATCCAATTAAGGGGACTGGAGAGTCAGGTTGCTGAAAAATCGTGCTTGCTTTTGATAATATTTTGTGACGAACTGAATAAATGTGCAAGAATAAAAATTTTAGGTATATTTATACAACATATGAAGAGTAGAAAAATTTTGTTTATTAACAAATACTCATATAAATATACGATATATATAGCTGAAATATGCTCTCCTTTTTTTTCACGTTGTTTTTGCAGTAATATCTCGGCTCTCGGTGGTCCGATCAGAGTGAATTTTAGCTAGAAATCTTGAGGAGGCTTATCATTATCCGGTGAACCACAAATACAATACAAATAATATACAATACAAAAAAAAATGGAACAAGATTAACAATGTAGCAGCTATTATTAGGAAAAGATTCAAATTTTTCAGTTCTTTTACAATAAAAAAATTAATATCTCGAAATGAAATATTTTGACGGAGTTGTCCATGGTTCACCTGAGAGCCAGATGAACAAATATTATTGCTTCAAAACTTCAAATCAACACGAAGCTCAGTTTCGGAGAAATCACTGCAAAAAGTTGAACAATAAAATTTCGAGAAAACTCGTTTAAAATTTAAGTGGACGTATATTTATATGAATATTTGTTAATAAACAAAATTTTTCTACTCTTAATATGTTATATGAATATATCCTAAATTTTCATTCTTGCACATTTATTCAGTTTATCATAAAATATTATCAAAAACAAGCACGATTTTTCAGTAATCTGACTCTCCAGTCCCCTTAATTTCGTTCTTTGACCCCTGACTCTATCAAATTATGGGACTACCGTCGTTGTTACCTGGTTGAAATTTTACAGATAGAATTTCAATTAGCGTATCGATCTTCTGGTAGCGATCAGATGGATTTTAACATCGAATTTGAGTTTTGAAACGATCGTCCGATGAGAGTTACGATCCTTTCGTCCGAGGCGGCTCGCAAGTTTCAGCGTCGCGCTCGCGACGGCGAGGAGGCCGGCGGGAGAACGCCATAAAGCGGATAAGCGGGCCGAACGGCGGCACACAATGAGAAGTAAATTTGACATGGCCGGTGCGCGGCGCGTAATCTGTCTTATTAAACGGCCGGCTCTCGGCGCGCGACGCGATTACATTTGAATGCACGCTGCGTCCGCGTAAGCGCCCCTCGTCTATCGCGCTATCGCCGGCCGATTAATTGCTGCCCGTGGCAGGACACCTTTTTTACGACCACAGCGAATCCGCTTCATTTCGCATGGGCGCACGCGCGATATCTGCCGCGATAGGAGGGGCAGAGAGGAGGGCACGACGAACGTCATGAGGCCTGTTCCAAAATCGGTTTCGGGAACTTGGGTTTTACTTATAAGGTTGGTAGGCCTTAAACTACGACTCAGATGTGTCCCATGATTGATCGGCTGATCAATTATTAAGATAATAAGTAATAAAAAATTGATTCCTTTCGCCAGCTGATATTACGAAATTAACAGCTGAAACCAAGTATGTGGATGGAAATGGAAATAGTACTTGGCTGTGAACGTTCAAGCGTAATCAGCTGATCAATTACGGAACGTATCGAAATTAGTTTAATCCTTTATATCCTGAATTAATTCACCTAAGACCTTCTTATTGAATTTCTGCGTAATTAAATAGCTTTCGGTATATTATATTAGGAGTGTGACTTATAATAGTTTTGAGAGACATTTCAATCACAGCTATTATTTCTTCATGCTTTAATATTAATCCGTGATATTTAGTCACTTACTAACAATAGACGCAATAAAAATCGTGTTAATACCGTCTTAAAAATAAAGCTTCCTAAAGAGCATTTTCGATATTTGCGTTGTTTTTGTTTTTTAATCAGAAGAAAACGGCGACTGAAAGTCATAGAATTCTGGTAGAAACTTGTGGCGATATTGTTCCCTCAATTGACACGTAAATATTGGTTTAGACGATTGAAAAGTGATGATTTAAATGTTAACGACAAAGATCGCTCGGGACAAGCAAAAAAACTTGAAAATACAGATTTGCAAGCATTATTGGACGAATAATCCAGCACAATCCATTTTAGAACTTGCCAGAACATTAAATGTTGATCATACAACAGCTACTAAACATTTACACGATGTGGGAAAGATTCACAAAGAAGAAAAATGAGTCCCACATCAACTATCGAAAAATGCCACTGCGAATCGGTTGAACGTTTGCATTTCGTTAATTGTCAGACGAAAAATGAAGAGTTTTTTTATATAAGGCGCAATATTCACGGTCCAAAGGTATTGCTGTGTATTTGGTAGGATCAACAAGGTGTTATATACTATGAACTGTTAAATCTGAATGAAACTGTCACCGTTGATCGTTGTTGACAACAATTATACAAATTGAAGCGAGCATTGGACCAAAAACGATTATCAATTGCGCGAGTAAACGACGCAAAGTCATCCTTCTTCACGACCATGCTCGACCTCATGTTGCATTATCAGTGAAGCAAACGCTATTAGAACTGAAATGGGAAGTCTTATCGCATCCCGCGTATTCTCCAGATACTGTTCCATCCGATTATCAGTTGTTCCGGTCGATGTGACGTGCTCTAGAGGATATACACTTTCATAACTTTGAACAAGTACGAAATTTGTTGAAAATTGGGTCAACTTCAATGAAGAAGCTTTTTATCATCGTGGAATCCATCTCTTGCCAGAAAGATGGGAAAAAGTTGTAGAAAACGAAGGAAAATATTTTGATTAAGGTATTCGTTCATTATTTTATCTGAGTAAATGAGTTTTTGAAAAAAAAATCCTCAAAACTAAATGACATTCCTAATAAATATAAGGAATAGAAAAATAAATTTTACAATAATTTAATGATTAAATTTTAAGATGGTAGCTACAAGTATTAACAAGAATATAAGGTAAGACATAGAGAAAAGAGTTCAAGAACATATGAGCGCTTATTCAGGATGCTTGGGATCTTTTGGAAAAGGAAAATGATGAAGATCAGATCAAACTGAAAAAAGAAGTCGAGTAATATATTTGAAAATTACTTGATAACTTCAAAATTTGCGTACTTGTTTACGAAATAGTTAAGGACTTTTTCAGAATGACCTAACCTACAATTACATGACGACTATTGTGTCTAGCGATTGATATGAGTATATTAAATTTTGAACTCTGAACCTTGAATCTTGAACCTGTCGCTAGGAATTCCGCGGTGTACATTTACCATTTTGCAAATAAGTACCCAAATTTTCAAGTTGTCAATTAAAGAAGCTTCTAGATATGGTCATTTTCAATCATTAATAATTTAATAACTATTGCGATTTTTGCAAAATGGTATTTGATTTTTCTTCTCACAAGAAAAGGTAGGGAACCCGAAAATTAAAAAAATTATGTGAAACTTCGTGTGGAAGTAAAGTAGGTCATCTGTAATGCAAAACTATTTCTTGTTCGTGCGGAATTCTATTCTTAGGAAGTGAAACCACCCTTCGAAAAAAACCATTTTCATTTTTAGTGTATATCTTTTAAAATACATATGCAAAAATGGTTTATATAAAAGTTGTAGTGTATTTCATACTCTTTGCAACTGTGTATTCAGATTTTGCAAAATTGGAGGAGAGCGGAGGAGGTTTCAAAAATTTTTCAATGAAAAATATATCATTAAAAAATATATGCTAAAAATGAAAATGATTTTTTCTTTGAAGGGTGGTTTCATCCCCTCAGACTAGAATTCCTCACAAACAAAAAATAGTTTTGCATTACGGATGAACTGCTTTACTTCCACACAAAGTTTCAGAATCTGTTGAATTTCCGAGTTCTCTATGTTTCCTTATCAGTTTCATCTGATTAATTTTCACAATTTTTCACTTCCAAAAGATCCCGGACACTCTGTATAGAGCGGTACTTTCAAGTACCGTCAGGATATAAAGGGTTAAGGCTTACCAAGCTTACAACTAAAATCAAAGTTTCCGAGACAGATTTCGGAACAGGCCAATGAAAGAAAAGAGTATAATCCCCCTCGCGCGGAATCGACAGGCCAGAGGGCGCTACGTTCGCGCCCGGCACGTAACTCGCGCGATGATGCTTTCACCTGTCCCGTCGGCGATGCGAATCCAAGCGCGTTTCCAAGCAAACGCAAATACCTCTGCCACGCGGGCGGCTCATGAGCGAAACGCGCTCGGGATTCTCGAAGGCTAATCGATCCGGCGCGTTCGCTCGGCTGCGAAATTTCGCTCGGAGGTATAGGCGATACAAGTGGCCGTGGCGGCGGCGGAAAAATATATACGTTGTCGGCGGTGAATTATCGCGATAGGCGCGGTACTCGCGAAAATAAATCTACGCTCGGCCGTGGGCAGAGGTGGGGAATCTCCATGCGAGAGCGGGATTCTCGGACTGCAGGATCTTGTTGGAGCGCGCGAGCCGGTTGAGCGTCCCCTCGCTGTTGGTAATTCCTTTTTCGATGCGCGCGCGAGATGTATATTTTCCCCCTATTACTTCTCTCTCTCTCTCTCTCTCTCTCTCTCTCTCTCTCTCTCTCTCTGCCAAGCGGCGTTTCTGACACAACCGCCGCTATTTTCGCCGCGACCTTGACGGCGTGCAAGAGCGCGTGTAAGTATCGATTACGTATGCTCGAAATTCTAAGGACCTTGTCCTCGGTAAGCGCGACACGTGCGGTGGGAAAAGAATCGAGACAAATTGCAGGCCATAATCAGTACACGTGGCAGACTGATATTTGAAGTATCGCTCGTCCTGAATAAACTACGGTGCGCGATCCGGCACCCCGCGGTGTACATTTACACAGCACGCGTCCTCACACAGGCACGCTCACGAGCGCTCAGCCGCCATGAGCTGAAAGCTGAGGGAGCGTGGGAATCAAATGGAATGGGAATGAATCATGGAGAGAGGGCAGGGGCGCCAGGGGATGGAGCGATTTGTACCGCCGATCGCACTCAACCCTCATCGGACGTTCATTCGAGAACTCAAATCCGATGTTGGGGTCAGTTCGACACTGTAAGTAAATCGACATGCCAACTGAAGTTTCACCTGCAAAGTCTCGACGAAGTAACG